GATAAAAGTCTTTTGATTTAGTTGCATTCCTTACCCGGAACGAATCCCAAAGATATTGTAAAAATGGCGGACATCAACTCAGTCCAGCTGAAAGCGTGAATGAGGTGTTTCGTTCCTACCATTTCCCGGATGTACACGTCAGAGAATGAGATTGTGGTTCCATGCGCACCAAGACAGACAAATGCATTAGCCATCATCAGCCAATAGGAATTCATCCAAGGAATGACAAGCAGTGTCACAGAATCTAAGATGATGGTTAGTAATAACGCCATTCGCAGCTTCACAAACCCCCTGTCTACCACATAACCAAGAAAGACTGAGATAACGATGCTTCCCACTCCAGCCACTGAGGTGAAAGTCACTGCATCGTAGGCAGGGAAACCTTTAGCTTGGGCTAAAGCCACGAAGTAGATAAGCCACAGGTCACATGGTAAGCGAGCAATTACAAAAATGACTGCGGCAATCCAGAAGGAGCCTTGCAAGAAGACCGATACTCCAAAATATCTACTCAGAGACAGGATGGCATCTTTGAATGAATGGAATAACGAATGTTGGGTGGAATCTTTGTGAGATAAATCCTCGTAGATGCCTCTAATCGGTTGATAGGTATTGTTATCTTTCTCTGTATCCCTTGTTTCACAAATTAATAAACCACACACACCAAGATGTAGACTCAACGCCCCTAGTACCATTATAGCACCTCTCCAACCGTATGTGTCTAGCAAGAGTTGCGTTAAGGGCGCCATCACGATCATACCAACAGCGTGTCCTGATGTTCCGATGCCGTTAGCCGTGGCGTAGTTTGATGTGTAGCAACGACCAACCAATGCTCTGGTCAGAACATTGGCAAAACTCAAGCCAGGCGCTGTAGGAAAACAAGAAGTAAATCACAAAATGTGCTATCAATAATATTATACATGCAGTATATCATAAGAAGCTTCTACATTCCAAATTGAACTTAAGGGTTTTATAGCAAAGACGAATTTTTTTTATTTATCTGCGTTATAAGTATGAAAAAAGAAGAAGAAAACTTGTGCGACGTCTTTTGGGTTGTGATGTTCTCAATGCCTTCGCGACACATGCAGGGTGAATACTTATTAAATTAAACACGAAGTTAAGCCTTTAAAAGTACAGGACTGTGGGTATCATAAGAAATGTTTACCTGCGACAAGTGTTAAGATTAATGTTAACTGTCCCAGACTGGTTGTAGACGAAGCGACGATCATGGACACTCCCAATAAAAATCCGCCGATTGCAACTACAGCTCGAGTGCCAAACATACACTCCAGTGGTCCAGCAAGAGGTCCTAAAATGAATGAAATTATGAAATATTCCAAAATTATTTTGACAGACTATATAGAAGGGCTCTGTGTGTAAATTAGGGTTAATACCCACTCACTATATCGCCCTCCTGCCATGACGACTATAATCTCAAAAATGTAACTTACGGACAACGACATAACTTAGATACGTGCCCTGGTACGAGTACGTATAGATTTTCAGTTTTCTTATAACCCCAAAACTTTGAATGTAATGACGTTGCACCTGAAAACACAACACAATAGTTTGTTTTAATTTTGTTGTTCATGGAAGCGCAAAAACGGACATGCAAAATTACTCCTTTTTGCTATTACCTATAAAATTGATGACGCCACTGATGATAGCTACCATCCATCCAACCAGCCAGGTATGTGATCTGAATTGCTCCTGAAGAGTTGGCAACATCACTCCTAGTCCTTTAAGAAGGCCAGTCCATAGCAACCAACAGACATGCAGAGAGAGAACTGCGTACCAACCATGGCGTGTCGTGCTCATCGTGTCGTGCTCAGCTTGTCTTGTATAAAGCTCAAATCTAGATGATGACACAACAGAGTAGGCCTACACCGCGTCGTATGGTAAAAAGCTCAACTCCGGCTCAACTTTAAACTTGAACGTTTCGTTAGGTAAATTTCGGTTCGAATACGCTTGAGCAGGGCCTATGAACCGACCTGTATATTTTAATGTGAATTCCATAAGGACATGCATATTCAGTAACACTAAACGTTAACGTGGCCAGTAATATAACCGCCATACTTTATTATCATAATTATCACGTTAAAAAAAATGATCAGCGTAATTTTCAAGTGACTGTTTAAAACAATTGACTGTACACACATTGTTCTGTTCATAATTATTGTGTGTAAACGTAAGCCAAATTTTTGATTATGTTTTTGATTACGCCGACCTCACTATAGTTTGGGTTTTTTAATAAACAGACACATAAAATGTCCTGGGCAAAACCCTGCATCGGTTCACACTGTGTTCTTTTTAGGCCAAAAAAAAAGTCTCCGGTTTCTGGTATGCGCGCACGTCGCCGTAGCCATGTGCGTCGGCAGAATGAGAAAGTTTTTTTTTTCAATGAAAGATGATGTCTCAAAACCGCCAAACTCACTGGTTTGACTGGAATCCTGCTGCCGCACAATTTTAACGTGTTTTTAGATTGGGTTATGGTCGAGAATAAGCTTTATGTGGCCTCTCTGCACTCCCATATATTTGCACTAAGTTTAGTAGGGGCACCATTTGCAGTCATCAGCCGACATTTGAAGCAAAATATCAGGTAAAAAAAAAAAGAAGCCGCGTCGCCGCACCACTTTTTGGGCAAGCTCCATGCCGGAGACTTTTTTTTGGCCTTACGTATAAAAGACTCGAAATTCGCAGTATCGTTGCCAGATGTACTTTGAGTGAAAGCGTGACACATCTATATACGTATATTTTACTACATGTGAACTAGTGGGTGTTTGTGAAAAATCTGTTTTGAGAAGACGTGTGGTTCTAAAAAAGAACCGGTGGGTTCTTTTCAGTTTATTTATGCTCTGATGATCTTCTTCGGGAGATCGTCTTCTTCTCAAAGGAGATTTTCCACATGGTGTTACGGTAAATCTTCACTAGTTTATACATCGTGCAAAATTCCAAAACTTGTTAACTACATGTATATACATCACAATCTGATCTCAGCCAAACTCAATATGCCCCCGTAATGTATCCGGCATTATTATTTTTTTTCACTTACAAAGATGAATGAGTCCGCCCCGTAACCGTGTCGTCTTACCGGCTCTGATACCACGTGCTGACCTGGTCAGTGATCGAAAACCGACAATACAGAACACTGAACAAACAGCTCAGTTAACGTATAGAGAAATCATATAGTCCGTGGTTTCGAACTAAATAGCTATACACCTGCAGTTTCCCACTTGGAACGATTAATTCAGTAATAATTATACAGGGTGAGTCAAAAAGTGACAAGGGATTAGAATTTTCCCTTAAGCACGTTCTTCCGCTCATGAAAAAAAGAATTACTGAAATTGATCCATGCCATCAGTACTGTACTATTTTTTTTTACTAAAAGAATCCATTTTTACAGCTGTCCATGCTTTGAAGCTGTTTCAAATCACATTGGCTATGCATACCTCAAGGTTGTATACTGTCCATGCTGTATTCGAGTTTCAACCCGAAAATAATTGTTGTTTAAAGTGCTATTTTTCTATCAATACAAAGGTTATTCAATGTTTAATAAGACGTCCAACGAGAAAAACGAACGAGAAAAAAATGTTTTTGAATAATTACTTCACACAGTTTTGAATTATTTGCAGCCCTACAATAATCCACCCTCCGCGGGATAGACTAGTTCCCGTCCTTTAAAAAAAATCAACTAAAGACTGGGAACAGTCTACAAGCAGGTCGGATCCGTTAGTACGCGAAACAAGTAACCAAGAATTATAGCCTTTTTTTCAGAGGGTTGCAGGCGCCCAAAATAGAAAAAAGATAGGTCTTATCTCATTACAATGTGTATGAAACATACAATTTCAAAAGTTTTGAGGCCCAAAAAAAATTAAGATTTTAGCGCACGGACGATACATCTTTAAAAAGGCCTAATCCACTGTGTGGTCCAACATTTCTTCTTCTTCTTTGTTTATAAACAAAATTATAGGCCTACTTCGAAAATATTATATTACTACAGAAACCATTTAGCTGAAACAGACAATTAGCATAATTTTTCCGGACGATAGCGGTCACGGACGCGAAGTATTTATCTACATAATCTGTCATTAAAATGCTAAATAATTCGCCCACCACTTAGACATTGTTCAGTAAAATAATGTATACTTCGTCCTTCGAAGCCTTTAAAAAATAATTATGATAATGTTCTAATTTAGCCGCACCGTGGGCAAATTGACCACGCCGTAGGCGTAGAAGGTTAGGCCAAATCCCTGTTTGTATTGCCCGTGTTTTGCGTTAATAAAAACACTTGAAAGTACTATCACAGTCCTCGTCTCGAATTGCTTTACGACAATGGCTAATAACGTACAAATACAGGAATATTCCAGGACCATTTCTTTTTTTGTTCCTAGTTATTTTGTACCTTGCATTAACGATGGGAAATGAAAATTCGGCAATGTTATAGTTGGCTGAAAAACAAAACCCTCAAGAGGTACAGTGTTGCAACGACACCCCACCACCCCACCCCACCCCACCCCCACTGCCAACCCAGCCCACCCCCACCGCCAACCCAGCCCAACCCACCGCCAACCCACCCCTGCAACACAGATTCGCCACTGGAATCACTAGTTAAATCAATATATTAAAATGAGTAATTGAACAAAGACGTGGTTGGGAATTTTTTCTGGCACAGGAGCCTCTAAATCTTGTCTTGCTCAGTTTTTGGCAAATGGTCGCGCAGTAAATAAGGTTCAAGTGCTGCAGCCGTGTCGGGGAAGGTTTTGGTTCATTAAATTAAAACGGATTTGCATAGAATGAGAGTAAATCAAGATACCTTGCCCTTAGTTTCCAAAAACAAACGCAGGGGCTCTTGCAGAAGAAAACTGAAAATATTCTAATGACTCTTTTCTTTGGCATCGGTCAAATTAAATTTATAGTGGGCTAGACTAGGGCCGACTAGATGCAATTGAAAGAAATCGGGAAACCCATGGCGCCCTCTATAGTTCTTTAATCAACGTTTTCTCGATAGAGGGCGCAGTGAAATTTACAAGCATGGCGGCCAGCAAAAGCACCAACACGTACAATCGTCAAAATTGGGAAGAATCGGTAGGGCCTAAGCATTTCCCCCCATTTTTTTAAAGTTCTAATGCCATTAATATGAAATAGTATAGTTTATAGTAACCTTTTGTACCAAATGACATGTTCGAAGTTAAAGCGCTGTATGCAGATCCAGTGACTTTGTCACGTTTCAACATCGCGTCATGCTTGCTGCACTAGTCTCTCACTCGGTCTCTGACTCTGCACTCGTCAGCAGTGCAGTCAGTCAGCATGATTACCAGATTACATCAATTTTCTTTGCAAGCTGTTGCAACTTGTATTGCATCATGTGCATTCAGAAATTCAAACACATACGTGGTGAACGTTGGTGACTGCACTATGCAGACATGCAGTAAACAGTACAGTACTGTAGTGTCAGTAGCTAGTCAGCTAGTAGATGTAGCCCCATAAATGTGGCCTATTTACTGGACTGCCTCCGTAAACATAGGCCACACATCCACATGTACAAAAATCGTGTCGACTTTGCCAAATTTTGATTTTCACATTTAGGCTTAGTTTGTAGGTTTTTTTTGCTTTAGAAGCATACTCACCCTCTTTATCAGAAAGTGCTGCCTTTTTTCAGATGTCTAATTTTTGTGAAATTTCATGTTGAAATTTTAATACGCAAACGTGTAAAAATGAATCTGGAAATTTCACGAAAAATATACATCTGAAAAAAGGCAGCACTTTCTGATTAGCCTATAAAGAGGGTGAGTATGCTTCTAAAGCCAAAAAACCCTACAAACTAAGCCTAAATGTGAAAATCAAAATTTGGCAAAGTCGACACGATTTTTGTACATGTGGATGTGTGGCCTATGTTTACGGAGGCAGTCCAGTAAATAGGCCACATTTATGGGGGTATAGTAGATGATGAATGAGACTTTACAAAGTGTAAGGATTAAACCCTGCAAAATATGATGCAGACTAGCAATGCTAGCATGACTAGTTAGTAGGAACTGAGGCCTGAGCTATTTTTTGATAAAGTTTATAGGCCTAGGCCTACGTTTGTTTTTAAAGTGGTTTCGTCATGTTCGTAGAGAAAGTCGTAAGGCTAGTCATGCTAGTATGACTATGAGGATGAATGTTTTAGATTAGCGTCCATCGCCCACACCTCCCCACGGCAGTGGCACGAAAATTTCAAAACTGACGTCACTCCACCCATGACTCCGCCCCAATCTGTAATTAAGAAAATCAAATGCACAGTGCCCTCTAATGTTTGTTTAATCTCCCTAATTCTAGCCTACCGAAATCTGTGAAGTTTGCCTTTTGGAAAAAAAAAGATCCCATTAACGTTTTTTTGTCTACATCAACTTGTTTTTTTTTTCTAACAGGACTTTCCCATTTTGTGCCAGACATGCCTGGGTGATAACCCCTACATTCGTATGGTAAGCATTTTTCATAACTATAATTTTTGTCCAATTTTTTTGCCTTCGACAATCTGACAATGATTCTGCTAGGATCAAAACGTTAAACCGTGTAAGTTTTGTTTGATTTGTTTTTGAGTGGTCGGGCACAACCCTTCCACTGATTGGAGTTGTTACGATTAATCTTCTTTCTTTCTTTCTTTTTTCCTGGACAATAAGTTTCCGCGGCTTTTCTCCTAAACGGAGTATGAACTGGTATGAACTTGTAACTTTCAACATATATGGACCCTCGTCCCAAGTGGTGCATATTACTCAGACGTCATGATGGCGTCATTGGGTGTCAAAATACAAGCGATTTTAGAGGAAAAAGTGGCCAAATACTTTCACCTATAACTCTTAAACAGATTGATCAATTACGTTTCAACTTTGCAATCAGATAAACCATTAGTTGATAAACATTTTTTGTCGTGTACGTGAACTCGCTTGACCTTTACTTCCAGGTCTACCGGAAGGTCAAAGTTATGTGAATTCAAAATCCTTAGCCTAAAATTAAAACAAAGCAAAATTTCTTCCGAACGGTTTATGGGATGATCATAAAACCTAGTGTGAATTTGTACCATGTTACGAAGATGTTATAAATTTTGTTACGTCATCATGACGTAATGTAAGGGCAAAGTGATGGAAGGGCAAATTTTGACAAAATAGTTTGAGCTATATCTTTTGAACTCAATAGAGTATCGTGTTCATTTTTTTCTTGAGGTTGTAGAGTATGCCTTGAGTAACATTTCGTGTTCCCGGACACGAAATCGCTTTACCTTTACTTCCGGTGTTTCCGGAAGTGCAATAAAAACTGAATATAACTAGGAAGCGTAAGCATTTTACTACATTTTACTGCGGAACAAATAAGAAAGCGACTGCTTACAATAATAGTACTGCTACCACATAATTTCATCATATTTGTTCACCAGGGACTGCAAAATCACAGCTCTTATAAGAATAAACCCAGGGGAGGATCCAGGAATTTGTACAAAATCACACAAAGCATTCAATACTAATAATATCCTAGTCTTTTTTCTGATTTCTTTCGGCATAACTCGCATATCAACACTGATTCTTTAATTCGTACCTTTAAGCATTTTTTGCAGATGCAGCCTTAAGAATTTCCAAAATGTTGTACTTTTTGTTGTCAGACAAAAGAAAAATTTGGTCGGGAATGCAAGATCTGCGACCGTCCGTTTACAATCTTCCGCTGGTGTCCCGGGGCTCGCATGCGATTCAAGAAAACTGAAGTGTGTCAGACATGCAGTAAGACAAAAAACGTCTGCCAAACATGCTTGCTGGATCTGGAATATGGTAAGATTTTACTGACCTTTCGCAAGGAGGAAAACAAGATTAAAAAACAACTTTTGCCCATGCAAATAAATATCAGGTGTCATGAAATAAAGATAGTCACACCTACAATTCCTGTACAATGCAGCTACTTTTACCATTCATGTATTGAACCTCATCGTCATTGTCGCCAAGAGTCATTGCTTGGCCCGTATGGATCTATGGATCCGCAGTGGCGAGCGTTTTCAAATGTGGATTCTCCTAGCTGAGAGACCATTCCGCCTCATCAGGATGTCCACCCATCTAGCATGAGGTCACCCACGTCCTCTCCTTGTAAGCACTGGAAGCCCGATGATCTCTGCAGCTGAGAGACTGCGGCATAGCACTGCATGACCGCACCAATGCCTTGCGCACAAATATCGTGTCGGACGAAAAAGTTCAGTGAACTCCAATGCGTCTTTCCAGTTCCTCATTTGTCACCATGTCTTGCTGAGATGGTGCCGCCCATATCTCGCGACCAATTGCATCTAGGCCTTTGGCTACAGCTGCCTGTACCATCCACGTACTGCAACCATACGTGAGTTGCGAGGCTACCAGGGCTTTGAGAAGGTGGAGCCTTGGTGGTGGTATTGAACCTGTTTGATATAAAACATTTCATGTCAAAATTTGCCTTTTTTAGAGTATTAATGCTTTTTGCACTTTTATTTGGACTAACTCAAATTTCTGAATTGTTTTGATGAATGCAGGGCTTCCAATTCAAGTCAGAGATGCAGCATTGAGCATCAAAGATGACATGCCGAAGTCTGAAGTCAACAAGGAATATTACTCACAGAACATTGACAGACAGGTAGGTAGGCTTGCGTGTACAAACATTTGCAGAGAACCGCAAGGCTGGTTACCTGTTTTCGCTAAGTTAGAGTCCATCAAATTTGGACAGTTGCTCATTGTAGGCTGTGTTAAAATTAAGAAATTAGCCAAGTCCAGGAAAACGTTGCCTTCCCCCACCCCTAAAAAATTACCCACTATAAGAGGCTATTCGGTCATGCTAACATTTTGTTGCTCTTGACTAATATTCAGCTGATTTTAGCTTGATGGCAGATAAATGCCTGCTGAGCTAAAAACAATCTGATAAATGTAGAATCAATTTAGTCTGTGAAAGGAGCAGCCGGGGGTAAAGTGACTCGAAGCTGTAGGGTACTGTTACCCATAGTCCTACTCATTTAGTTGAAGCTTAAGAGTATCTACTCTGGTTGCTTAGACTAAGAGATCAGATTGAAGGACTGAAGCACTACTCTAACTTTGAAGTCTACCCTAATACTTTGTCATTTTTCTACCTCTAGATTGCCAATGTGGATGGGGTACAAGCAGCAGGTGCCGTCGGCAAGGCTCAAGCACCCAGTGATCTACTCATGAAGCTAGCTAGAACCACACCTTACTACAAACGCAACAGACCTCATATCTGTTCTTTCTGGGTCAAAGGGGAATGCAGACGTGGGGAGGAATGTCCGTACAGGTAGGTGGTTCACATCCCTCTCATGTTATACCCCTTGCCCCCCCCCCCATTCTATCCCTACCCACCCTCTTTGACCCTCCCTATCCCTACCAACCCTACCCTCATAAAATACCAACCCCACCCCTTATCTCACTCCTCCCTATTATTCCTAACCCCTTCCACCCTTCCAATACAGTGCCCCACCCAATTCCCCTCCCCTTACAACACCCCATCCCTCCCCAGCCTTTCCCCCTCCCAAACTCCCCAACAATCATATAAAAAGAAATAATTGTAACAAATGAACCATATTTGTTGCAATAAATTTGCTTTTTCCTGTTTGATTTGCCTTCAGACATGAGAGACCAACAGACCCTGATGATCCTCTGGCTGATCAGAACATCAAGGATCGTTTCTATGGCACCAACGATCCCGTCGCTGATAAACTGATGCGACGTGCTGATACCATGCCTAAGCTGGAACCTCCTGATGATAAGACAGTCACTACACTGTACGTGGGTGGCCTAGGAGACAAAGTCACTGAAGAAAACCTAAGGTAAATTTATCCTTGGTGTTTGAGAAGCACAAACATGTTTGGAGCCATCCGGACCACTAACCACATCATCTGGGAATGAAGTATCTTTGGACCCCTGAATGGCACTGCTGGCTTGATGACCCTTGATGACGCTACTATCAACTGGCTGTCCTCAGACCTCCCAGTTTAGACGATGGTGGTGTCCATACGAACGAACGAACGATGACAAAATATTTCTACAAAGGATTTGTGTCATGTGTTTAATAAATCTGTGGGTAAATGTGAGAAGTAAAACATGAAGGGTTTAGGACATTCAAAAAGTTAAAGACCAGTGATTTCATTTGAATGAACCTGGTATCTTGGAACCTCTCATAGTCGGATATTTTGTTGTCAGCAATATTCATTTTCTTTGTGCATGACCTAATGAGGGCGCCGTGTAATTTTCAAAAATTAATCAAATTTACATTTCCTTCCTCTAGAAACCACTTCTACCAGTTTGGCGAGATCCGTTCCATCAATGTGGTACAGAAGCAGCAGTGTTCCTTTGTGACTTTCACAACGCGCTCCGCGGCTGAACAGGCCGCTGAAAAATCCTTCCAGAAATTGATCCTGAAAGGTCGGAGGTTAAATGTCAAGTGGGGGAAGTCACAGGGTCAACAAGGTGTCACCGCTAAGAGCATAGAAGGGGGCAAGGAGCCACAGTATGAGCCAGTACCAGGATTACCAGGCGGTGAGTTAGGAGAATTTGTGTATAGAGCCCTTGTACTAGGATCACCAGGGGGTAGGTAGAGAGAATTTGTGTATAGAGCTCTTGTACTAGGATCACCAGGGGGTGAGTAGGGAGAATTTGTGGATAGAGGTACTAGGATCACCAGGGGGTGAGTAGGGAGAATTTGCGGATAGAGGTACTAGGATCACCAGGGGGTGAGTAGGGAGAATTTGTGGATAGAGGTACTAGGATCACCAGGGGGTGAGTAGGGAGAATTTGTGGATAGAGGTATTAGGATCACCAGGGGTGAGTAGGGAGAATTTGTGTATAGAGCCCTTGAACTGAGCGCCCTCACTGTGGACAGATTTTATTATTTAAATTCAGTGTCTGTGAAAGTCCAAATGTCTCATGCGCATCACTGATGGATTCTATGCAAGGAGTCTATGTAGGGAACTAGTTGTCATTTTAATGGCAACCCTAATTCCCTGGGTATTATGGTATGGTATTAAGGTACTTTCTTTGAACTTGAAATATCAAAGGGAATCAAGTCCGTGACTATGGAGTTGTAAATATCTGGGACAGTAGAGTGTGCTTCAGGCCTCTGATGGTGACTTCTCAAGTAAACTAACGCAACTCTTGATCATGCTTTGCATTTCAGCTCTTCCATTGCCACCCATGCCAAGTGATGGATCACAACCCAGTAATTTCTTCAATCTTGACCAAGATGATGCTCAGTTGCCGCCATTACCTGGTGGGCCAATGGGACCCATGGGAGGTGGGCCTGGGGGTCCCCCAGGGAGATTACCACAGGGTCCGCCACCCCGTATGATGCAACGTCAACAGCCTCCACCACCTGGAGGTTAGTATGCTGGATTATTGCATCCTTATAAAATAATAAAATGAAAATGCTAAATTCATACCAATTTAACCCATACCCAAAATAATCTTTTCCTCACTCGTAGTTTTCAAATCATAAATGCGTTTTGCTTGCTCCTGCATAATATCCCAGAGTGGAATACCGTAACAATGAAAAATCAGTTACAAAGAAAAAACGGTTAGATATTTGAATCTCTGGAGATTGTCGTTTAAAATTAATATTTGTTTCATTGAAAAGTTCCCTTTTAATTAGTACAGGAAATATAAATAAATAGAATGAATCTTATTGATTCTATTTTTTAAAAATTGTTTATTCGCAGCCTTTGGATTTCCCCCTCCACCTTTCCCTCCACCCCCTGGCTATCGTGGACCTCCTCCATTCCATCCTGGAGCTCGTCCCCCACCCCAGGGGATACGTCCACCACCTCCAGGTGTCAGACCCCCTTTAGCTCCCCCAGGGGTTAGACCACCAGGACTCCGGCCCCCAGGGCAAGCTGTTCATTACCCGTCACAAGACCCACAGCGAATGGGTACAGGAGCAGCACAAGAGTAGGCGAAAGAAATAAGTGTTGATACATTGTACTTGAGTTGCAGACTAATGAGTTTTTTTTCAAAACCTGGGGTTCATCTTAAGCGTCTGTCTCAGGAGTTTTTAGGCCCCTGGTGTGGGCTGTTTGGTCCCATATTGTGTCAACTTGAAGCATTAAGTTCCATGATGTTAGGCTATTAAAAGTATCCGTATTTAGTTTGATTGTGAGCCAAAGATATGAAGCCCAGGCTAAAGACAAAAGCTAGGAGTTTGAAATGTACCTCTTCTACCTGATAATCAGGTTTTTTTGTTAAGTGGTCAAAAGTTTTATCAAATAATTGTTAAAATTTGGCAAATTGTTGGTCAAATTACTTTGAATGTTTTTATGGGATTGAAGTTCTTACGTTTATTATAAGTTTGTTTGTCAGTAAAGCTTAGCAACTAAATGTATAGAAGTAACAACATGCATTTTGGACTTATTACGTGCAAATCTTTCAGTTACTGTGTATTTTTAAAGGTCTCACATATTGCTGAAAGGCCATTGTAAACATGTATTTAATGTTCTACATCGTCGACAAATTTTAATCAGTTAGGCAATCTTTGGGCTTAGTTAAAATGGCGTGAGAAAAAGTTACAGAATAAAACCACACATTAAAACCCCTAAAACACAGTTTATGTGTTCAAATATTTCTGATAGAATGCTGCAAGAAACAAAACACTACATTTTCCAATTTAAATGTGTTAAATTTCACAGAAACACTTTTAAGTGATTTTTTTCAGCTGTTAAAACTAAAACTGTAAAGTGCTGTTTTCATGGTTACCAAAATTATCCGTGAAGCTACGAGCACGCGTGTTCCATTTACTTTTCCATTACACACCTCAAATCTGTCAAATTTACAACAAAAAGCCAATAAATACACACTGTTGAATTTAGGGAAATGGGGCACATGCACAAGTTGCACATGATGTACATGCACTTAAAATTGACGTTTACATTGTAATTATTTTTCTCCCCGCTGTCATGTACATACCCTGGCATTTAAAGTTTTTAACCAAATTTTGTTAAAAAAAAAATAGAAGTTAAAGGAACTTGCATGGAAAAGAAAGTCATTTGAACAGTGCTAGAAATAGCTATGTACATCGCCCAGGTGCAATTTCCTCTTGTCTTTATCTTGGATTAAGAAACCCCCCTTAATTCTCCCAAAGCCCCGCCTTCTTTACCAGTTTATTATTTTTGCTTCGACATGCCAACTCTAGAGGGCGCTATTGCATGTCCCGACGCGCGCCAGATGTAAACAATTCAACTGAGTTTGTGTCGCGCGCTGTGCGTGTGTCTACGGAGTTGCTTTGGTTTTTCTACATTTGGCATTCGATATGAAGACACGGACGATTTTGGTCACTGCATTTCAAGGTATGTCGAGGATATTCAGTATTCTTCGAAAGGTAGCGTTAGCTCAGTAAAATGCCATAATTGATATAAACCATGTAGGCCCTGGGCATGCCGGGGCGTTACGTTTTGGTTTTCTTTTAGGGGTTACTTTAATGGTTGCCATATTTGAGCACTGGTCTTTTGCTCCCTTGAATTCTTTTTCATAGCTGGTGCCAATAAATCTACTTTTACTTTTTAGTGCACCCAAATTGGCGCTTGACCATATGTGATATATTTTGTGATAACACTTTTCTCTGGCTTGTGTGCAAGATTCTGTCTGATCATGTTGGCTCTGAATTGAATATAATCCCTCTATATATAGCGCCCTCTTTCGTCTAATCACCTTTTATTTGGCTGCCATTTTAAAGTAGTGGTACAGTGTTTCCATCTTAGGTTATATACTGTATATGTGAATGAGACTTTCATTAAAGTAGAAGTACAGTGAAAAGAGTACAGACTAAATTGATGTATTTTTTTGTGTGGTTCTGCCCCCCCCCCCCAAAAAAAACAAATCCTCGCAACCGATAGGAACCCGGAGTAAAACCTAGTTAAAATAATTAAGCCTACGCGATACAGCATTCCTAACCATCATTTTGTAATAAGAATTGCCGAAAATTAGCGAATCTTAACAACGAGTTTGCGTAGTTTTCAATATGAGGCTGCTTAAACAAAAACCAGGCCGCGCATGGATAGAGTCTCAAATCGGCCGTTTCTGTACGTGAGCGGCGTTCTGGTGAAAAGTGTTCAGATATTCAAATCTCAACAATCAATGGAGAATTGGAGTCAGTTTTCCCACATTGCTGAAAAAGGGCGATTAGCGAGGGAGGAATTAAGGAATGCGGTTTACGTAACAGGATTTTGAATATAAACCTTTGTACACGATAGACATGCATCATTCATCCATTGAAACAGTCGGTGACGTCTTGTACGGTGTTCACGCACAAAACGTGCTGCATAGATCGCGCGTAAATCACGCGTAGATCACAGAGCATGTCTTCCATGTTTAATACAATTTGTTTACTGATATCGCGTATCGATGTCCTTGGCTATGACTGGTCTACGCAACATCTAGTCATCCCTGTAGTTCTGGAGAGTAGGAATTAAAACTTCCTTCTGTTTCGCATCTCCGCGAGAAAAGAAAAGAAATCTCACCAAAAGCGTGTTTACAAAATGAAAATTGTTATTCTTGTATTCGTGATAATTTTATCGTGTGAAAACAAAGTAGAATCATGGGGTGCACTTTTAATTAAACGTATCCGCTAAAATCATTACTGTTGAAAAGAGTTTTGGCTATTTTGTGATATACCGCATATTCCACCAAAACCAATGCTTAATTTGTATTATTAATGATAATTTACCCCAAATTTACTCACCTCAATTAATGTAAAACTGTCTCGATTTTAACGAAGAAGAATAATGAAAATCTGTTTTTTTTTGTCCCGGTATTTTCTTTATTATATATATTTGTTTATTCATTTGGTACTAAAACTACGGAATTAATGACACATTTCAGTAGAATCAAATTTATTTTCTTCAAAGTATCAAGGAAATAATTTTTGTATCACTAAAAAAAATAATCGGGGTCAGGCAATTCCCCATGCCCCTATATTTTTTACCACCCTTCGCGCTGAAATCCAGATAATCTTCTTATTACTGTACCTAAACCTCTTTGTCAGACGGCCGAGCGGTCTAAGCCGCATAGCGGGATTCGAACCCGTGCCCGGGCGCTCCAAAGGCTACGCCTTTGGAGCGCCCGGGCACGGGTTCGAATCCCGCCCGTGTTTTGAAAACATTGCTAAGATTGTCCTTTTTTCTTTCTTTAACATTATTCTGACATCCTTTTATACTTTTATGGCTTCCATACGTTGGCAGCAAACGAATGAAAATTATAAATAAAAGAAATTGAACTAAAATAAGACGGAAACCATTATTTATACAGAAACTAACACTCTGTGACAATATTTTTCTATTTTGAACATCTAAAAACTATTTGTCAGGCATCTTTTTTTTTTAATTCAACGCCACTGCATGTCTTCTTTCCAACCAATGTTTTTGTTTAAATAAAATATATAAAATTCAATTTTTATAAATAAAGTAGATATAATTAATACGAATCGTCGTGCACTCGGTTTGCAGTAAAACATTAAATCATTTATTTCAAGATTCAATTTAAAATGTGATCTAGAAAAATAAATCTAATAAGATTTATGTCACATTGTGCCCAGTTAATTTTCGGAATCCTAATTAATTTCCATTAAGTTCCTGGGAAAAATTTAGTACAGTGTTTTTTTTCCATGCTTCAACCAAAATGTTCTTAACTTAATCCCGCTCGCTTTGCAAAAAAAATCGGTAACTTTATAAGGAACAGTTTAATAACACCACAAAAAACACCACAAATTAAAACGACTTTCGGTTTATTTTATGTACATTTATTGTATTCGTCAAAGGTACTTTACTGATGGAAATATTGCAAAGGTCATATGGCTGTGTGATGTGGTGTTAGATACATGTTTTGACATTCAATCATAGGTCTTGCGGCATACGCGTTCAGCACTGGTATATCCCGGTGGTCTCCCCAACTCTCTTTTTCTTACCGTTGAGGGGGTACTTGTGCACGGAGCCCATAATTATATTCCTTTTTTTACTTTTGAAAGCCGCTTTCAGAAGTTAAAAATAAATTTGCAAGGTTGCAGAATTTTTTCCCCTTTAAACAGATAGTTTTCTCAGTAAACAGAGAAATTCGGAATTTAATCATAAGTATTAAAGTTGTGAAACTGGAGCTGTTTTGAATTGCAGAGGTAAAAAAGTATAAAAAAGTATAAAAACCACTAAATAATAGAGTGAATAACATTCACTCGTTAAAAAGTATTAAAAATACGAAAGGGGGGCTTTGGTTTTTGACGCCTTTTTTTAGTGTAGATGAAGTAAAAATGAAAAATTGCCATAAAGAATTCTACTTTGAAAAATGTTTAAAAATGTGCTATAAGCATTCATTCATCACATAGTATGAAGTGCTAAACTAGAGAGTAAAAAATCCAAGTTGCACTGGCACCAGACTAATATGTGACATTTATTTAAAAAAAACCAAAAAAACAACAACACACATTAAACCGTCAAGAAATAAATAAATAAATCTAAAAGAAATCCCCACAATCAGTTTAGTAAGAAGGCCCTTCAACGAGACTGCAGCAAGACCCCGTCACTAAGATGGCTACCTCTACTTCGGTGCATGAGTAACAACCAGCATCCTGGCAGCACTGCGGCTTCAGACGATCACAGCTGGATTTATCTTGCAACTGTTGACTCACCCAGCCACAAGGTCAGACTACCAGCTCTGACTGACTGGCTTGAAATTCCTGTTTGGACTCCTAGTACAAGTCCCAGCAGAATTCCACATGCAGCAGTTATGATATCTGCAAGGTCTAGCTCTCCATTCCAAACAGTGGGGCAAATAAAACAGCCTAGTCCCAAAACCCAAGTTCCCCCATGAACTCCAAACCCCATAGTCCCGATTCCCCCTCAACTATTTAATAGTCCAAAGTATCCAAGCCTACCCTCCATCTCCAGACCCCTTCAGCTCCCAACTTCCCAGCCTCCCAGTCTCAGACCCTCATATCTGAAAAAAAATTCAAGGGGTACCCCTTGCAATCTGAAATTCTGGCTCCCAACTCCACAACCTCCCAACCTCCCAGCCTCAGACCCTCAGATCTGAAAAAATTCAAGGGGTACCCCTTGCAATCTGAAATTCTGGCCAGAGCTGAAAAATTGTCCAAGTCCAACAACCTAAGGGTTTTAATTACGAAAACCGGAGTTTTTTTCAAGAAAGTGCCATGGCAGAGCGGGAAAAAAGAGAGCTGGCATGCAGAAGGTACGCGGTTCAACCCTGCTCCATGCTACTATTTTATTTATTTTTTTAAATTTCTCTCTGCTGTGAGGAAAAATTCTCCTCCCGGGTCCCCGGCTGGGATTTGATCCGGGGACCCCAGCCTGGCGGTCAGCGAGCTAGACCACCAGGCCATATGCCTCTTCGAAAATTTGTTCTCGGACGTTATATTTAAAGGTTAGATTGCGCAATATAAAAAAAAAGAAAAAAAATTAAAATACAACCCTTGCCCTCATTTGCATAATAAAACAGGAAAAAAATGAATATTCAAATCATGTAAAAGCAATGGTTCAAAATGCTGTTTTTTAACTGAATTATCAAGCATTGATTTTATTTCAAGCCAATATTTCACTGGGTAAAAAAAAGTACAGTTTTATAGGGGGGTGGGCTGGTACCGTAAAATTAAAATTCTTAATGTAATTTGATGATTAACGAATGTATCAGTTCAAAATTAAAATACTGTAAATAGTGTTAACATTGAATCATCCAAACTCTTTGAAAACTGTGCTTCAACTTACACACAAATTACATGTTTCAAAATTGTCCTGCTATCCAGTAAATCCGTTGTTTTAGACCAATTTTTTTATAATTAGCCAAAAAGAAAATTCAATCGAATTCTATCTGCAACTATGTACATGTATGCTGCTACATTATGAACTTCTCTGATCTATTATGTTACAACCCATTCAACTTCTCAAGGCCAAGAAAAAAGTTGTGTTTTCTGTTTTATTGTGTTTTCTGTTTTACCTTAACTTTTATTGCCAGAAAAAAAGGTGTTCGATTATTTTGTTTTTAATTATGCATGCATTCATAGTTAACATGTGAATTAAATGCTTCAATCTGAATCTGCTACGCTCAGTACGCTGTTTAAAAGCTTTGCTGCCAACAATTATATATACAGTATAACCAAATGAAATTAATTTTTGTAAATGCAGGCTGATGTTCAATGTTTTAAAAAAGTTTCTGAATAAAAAATATTTAGGTTCTGTATGCTATTCTAGGTTTGCTGGGGTTATATAGGAAATTCATTATTTTTTTTCTTGGCCTTCAAAGACTGCCAGTAGAGCCTCCCTATCATCACAACCCATTTTTTTCTTTTCTTTTTCAAAGGAGACTTTGTTAGAATATTTGCAAATGGCTTTTGTAAGTTTTCTTGCAAGTTCAAAAGTTGTTTACTAACTGCTCAAAATGTTCACGATTCAAATATTTCCGAGAACAAATAGCTTTACAATCACCTATAATTGCAGGGATATCCTTTGGAATCAACCATGCTTCCAGTTTTCAAATCCGAAATTTTAGTTACGACCTATTTTTTATACACACTTGTAATGATTAATGGCTTGTGTAATACATCATGCATGCAATGACAGTTTTAGGGAATGTAAAATATTTCTCACAATGTTAGATTGTACATGTAGTGGTCTTCTTTTTAACTTTCAATGAATAGAATTAAAACCCAAACGAGAAATCTCAGAAAAAACATTTGACCGAGGGTATTCCTCTGGAGGAACAATTTTGTTTTCACCTAGAACTCAAGGAAGCTTAAAACCCTCAAAGAGCATTTAAAGTGTCTGAATTTCAGCCATTTTCTTATCAGTTCTACAATGGTATTGGAAAAGTAGCAATTACAAGGTTTTTTTAAATTAAATTTTCTACTGACCAAAAGAAAACACAAACCCAAACAAAACATTGCATGATCAGAAAAATTTCTCAGAAAAAGTTTATATACACGAGAAGATTTAACCCTGAAAGGCTGGGGGATTCTGCCCCCTGCACTTTTTTTAGCAATATTTTTGCAACGCGCAAGTTTTTAGGCGTGGGCTTTCATGACTTTCTAGCTTCAAGTTTGGCGCACATTTTCATACCAAATTTATTGAAAACTTACATTAGAATCAACTTCACTGTACGATATTAATTGAGGCTGTGGGATGGTCCCAACCCCCCCGGCTCTTTTAGGGTTATTACACAACAAGCAAAACTTGAATTGAGACAACAAAGAAATGTCTTATCTAAACTGGTTCTTGAGACTGTTGTTTAGAATCCTTGGTTGAATCCAGAGCCACCAGATCCACCGGAGTAGAAAGAACCGCTACCTCCACCTCCTTGGTTACCTGGCAACAAAATATCACATGACTGTATAAGTCTTTACTGTCTAAACAAACTCAACAAATATCAAGCTAAATTTTACGAGGTGTGTTTCATTTTTCTGAAACTTATCGAAGACTGCAAGTATAAACAACAAGCTCTAGAAAAAGGGAATCTGTTTGTTCACATCATTTTGTATAACAAAATTCCCATTTTACTTGAGGATCTATTTTCCCATATTTTTGTTCCTCCATCAAACATCTTTTAAACCTATTATCATCCCATTTAATTAGTCGACTGTTCACTGTTATACAACAGCGGGACTGCTATTTTTTCAAAACTTAGATCACATTCAATTTAGTTTGTGGCCTATATTTCCATTACTAACCTCAGTGCCCCAAATCATGTTAAATATCATTAGAAAGCTCTTGTTCTGTAAAATCCAAAAATTAAACATCTCTAATCTCAAAAAAGCTAGTTTTGGGGTGACAAATGTTTTATAACAAGATAAATCCAAATAATCCAACTGACTCCGTTACCTTGGTAACCTGATCCTCCTTGGCTTTCAAAGCTGGTATATCCGCTTCCTGCTCTCATGCCGCCTGATTGGTTACCAAATCCGTTACCTTGGTTACCAAATCCACCACTTTGGCCTCCGACCTGCGAACTGCCACCTCCAAAATTGCCACTTCCGCTACCTGTTACGAAAAGTAATAGTCCACATTTTTTTCCCAAATATTTGATGACAAGAAATAAAAGACATGTCAATAATAAGACCTGAAACACGGATACTGTGATCAGGTACAGGCTTTAAGGTGATCATAACTAGAGTGCGGGATTGACGTGAATAATAGCAAAAAGTTCAAGCGAAATGATGGTCAATTATATAGTTTGACTCAATCCCACTCTGCTAGACGATAGCGGAAATATAGACAACTGTTCTGGAACAAACCTATCTAGGTTGATTGCACTAGTCGGTGGCCACAACCAAAGGTCTCTTTTTGGGATGGAAATTATTAGGCCTAAACTGAAATCTGATGTCATGCAGTGTAGTGAGTATTTCAAGTCCAGCATTAATCTTGTAAGATGAGGATCTACTTCAATAGGGCCAAATTTCAAAGAGCTTCTCGGCACACAATCTTGCTAACTTCATTCTTGCGCTAAGCATTAATAAGACAGCAACAAGCAACACAAATCAAATTATACTTTGGCTTGTCATCAGTTTTTCCTAAGCAATATTTGTTTGTGCTAAGCGATATTTTCTTCTTAGCAGCAGCATGACATTTGGTCTAGTTCTTACCTCCCATACCTGACTGCAATCCCGGCATATCACCGTACCCTCCATCCCCACCGTCGCCGTCATCATCAGAGTTCAAGAACAGCTCAATGTAACGATGCATCATGTGTTCTTTGTCTTTAGCCATGGCAGCCACTGCGTCTCCGTGACGGATGAAATCAACGTCTGCCTCGCCTGACGGTTGACCCTTGTTGTTGTACTTGATGACAACTCTGCACGGAACAGCCTTCTTGCGAAACCACTGTACAGAAAATTACAACATACATGTAATATAATATACTGTTGGTTGATAACATGAGACCAGAATAATCCGTCTAACTGAAAAACCAGATAATCACAGTGTATGTATTTGTGACTAGTTCCAAGCTGATGTTTTTCAATGTGTTTGCGTGTACATTTTGTTGAACAACTAAGAAGTTAAACTAAACAGTCCTTTTCAGGACTACCATTTCTATTAAAACGAGGAATGACAATTGTTGCCAAAAACGAAGAAAAAAAAAAATAATAAAGAAAAATTAAAGAAAGCACAACTACCCTCACCCCAAATCCATTACAATCCTAATAAATGACAATTAAGACCTTGGACAAAATGAAAAAGTGACCCTTTTTTTATTTGGCCGTAACTCAATAACTACTTTTCCAATTGGAAAGATTTTTTCGTTGTTGAAAAAAAAATTTGAGCTGTACTTTCCAAATGTGTATCAATATTTGTAATGTCTGTTTCTTAAAAGCTCTAAAAAAGAGGGTACTTTGAGGGGTTTTTTTTTTGGGAAGGGGGGACACCCTGTGCTTTAATACTACCTACACAAAGTAAACCAGGTGGTTAAGGCCAAAAAAAAAAAGTCTCCGGTTTCTGGTATGCGCGCGCGTCGCCGTAGCCATGCGCGTCGGCAAAATGAAAAAGTTTTTTTTTTAATGAAAGATGATGTCTCAAAACCGCCAAACTCACTGATTTGACTGGAATCCTGCTGCTGCACAATTTTAACGTGTTTTTAGATTGGGTTATGGTCGAGAATAAGCTTTATGTGGCCTCTCTGAACTCCCATTTACAGTCATCAGCCGACATTTGAAGCAAAAAAATCGGGTAAAAAAACCCAAAAAGCCGCGTCGCCGCACCACTTTTTGGGCAAGCTCCATACCAGAAACCGGAGACTTTTTTGGGGGGTCTAAAGGACTCAGGATTACAGAGGGTACACACTATCAGTACACAACATCAATGAAGAATTCATAGCAATAATGTTTTACCGTAATTGTAACTTACAAAATGCAGTGACTCTGAATGTAGGGAGATAATTAAACAGTGTTCATGCACTGTTGGCATTTTACATATGAAATGAACATATTCTGACCTCCATGATGTGTTCTTCAGTGGCACTGAATGGCAGACCTCTCATGTGAATAGAATGTCCTGTCTGACTCTGGAAGACTGGTCCCACACTATCACCTCCTGGACCACCGAACCCAGAGCCTCCCCCGCTACCGTAACCATACCCCCCACTGCCACCCCCTCCTCTGCTGTATCCACCTGAACAAAAGCAAAAGTTATCTTTAGAATTCGCTGTTTTTAGAATCCTGATGAAATCCTGATCAGTGGTTATAATAGATACATGGAGGAACAGTACAATTTGCCAGTAACATCATGCAATTTAATTTTTGTGTGAAGATGTGGTTTTGTAGTCAAGGATCCCAGTAACTAATTCCTTATTTTGAAATGCAATCATTAACAAGGCTACCCTCTTGCTGTCTGAAATTCTCTTCACTTAAATACCTAACATTCTTCAATGAATACTTAAATCAAACCTCGCTCACATCCATCTCTAATTGATTGACATTACCTCAGTTTTTGGGCTGAATACCACAACACGTATCTCAACATCGATACACTCGCTTGTCCCTGAGTATGTCTTCAAGTGATTGCTTCTGTGATAATCTACTGAAATCTTAGCAACCTACCATTACCCACGTCCGAGCAAGCAGTCCCCTGGTGAGCTTGTGTCAACCCTGGAAGTCAACTAAGAGAGTAATGGAAATTGACAAGCAAACAGATGCGGCAGCGGATCCACAAGTCCCCCTCTTTGTCGCCAAACAAAATCTGCGCCGACTGAATAATCACAAAGCATTTCAATGCTCCAAACATTGTCAAACCTGGCGAGCGGGTACTACCAATATTAGGACTGCCAGACAGGATTAACATTTGATCAGGATGTCAGGAAATCTCAAGCCAATTTGACAATCTGCGCCCTACAAGAAACCAGGAGAAGTGATGCAACTCTAATTGTTGAAGGAGACAGGAGAAAGTACTCTTACAATCTGTACTTTGCTGGGTACAAGCGTAAAGCTCAACACAGGGTTGGACTGGCGATCAAACGCTCCCAAGCAGTTGAGGTCTCAAAAGTTGATCACATCTCAGCGCGCCTGGTAACTACAGAAATTAAGATCTGGGGGTATAATCAGAAGGTTGTGGTAGCATGCTCCTACTGCAGATGCGGATGCTGCGGTTTGTGAAAAAGTCTACCAGAATTTATCTGAAGCATCAAAATTGCACAATAAGAAGTGGAAGTTATTGATACTGAGTGATTTCAATTTCAAGTCATCTGCCAGTTCTTCGAAGAGCATCGCTATCCGTGTTCAATATCTGGTATTACAACAAAATCTGCTGTTAGATCATGTGGCACAGTAATGACCAGCGTACAAAGAGAGTTTACAAAGTTTCATTAACAGACAGTTCCACTCGAAGTTACGTACTTCAATGCAGTATTTATAACAGCTTCAGGTTTGACTCTGACGATTGATTTATCATAACCACCCTGAAGGCTCCTGCTACCCGAGCTGCTTGCTTAAGATTCGGGTCGTTGAAAAAGCAACCGAAATTCCAGCTCAAAGGTCTAGATGCCAAAAAACAAAGGTGAATTTCTGCAAGTCTCTCCGCGCAAAGCTTGGTTCAGTTTCTGCTTCTGCCGCTGCTGAAAGACTTTCTACCACCAAAGTCAGCCATGCTATTCCACTATGGCGGTCTTCTCCAAAATTACAATCCTTACTGGAGGAACGCAGACAACTCGCAGCACCTGGTGCCAGTATCGACGCAATTGAAAAAGAAATTTGCAAATTCTCAAAGTAACTACTTAACTTACACTGGGCAAAGGAGGCAGAACCAATCAACGACCTTCAATGTACTTGCCAAGCTGAGAGAGTCTTTTGCTGTGCGAAAGAACAAAGATCGACCTTTCGATCAGGTGCCACAAATCCACAAATGCAGGCCATCATCGACTATTTCCATGTGCACAATAGCCCTGAAACTCGGTCAACTCCACCAGAGGAGTACACAGGATCCCTTACTCCAGGCTGTATCGCCCTGCTCCATACTATGAAGCTCGACAAGCCTCTCAATAACACCCCGGACCAAAAGAAAATCGAGACAAAAATTTCATTTAATGAAGAATGGAAAACCAGCAAACGACTTCCCATCTGATTCCTCAAATGGGCCCTCACGAAGGAGATGCTAGATATACATGTACTAGAAGGGCTCATTAGGAACATCTGGGAAAAGGGTGATATCCCCGACACCTGGGGTGATTTCAAGTGTGAAGTTTTATTTAAGGGCAAAGGTTGAAGGTCAGATCTATCAAAATATCTCGATTATGCTCTCCTGATTATCAAAAAGGTATAAAAAGCGGTTGTCCGAAAAACAGTTTGTATTTCGAAAGAACCGAGGTACCACTGATGCCATCTTCTGTCCCAAACAAATCCAACAATTACAGATCAAAGGAAGCAACCTCTCGACATATTGTTTGTTGACCTTCAGGCGACGTTCATCCATGTAGCAAGGCCTGGCTTTTCAAATCCATCAAAATGTGCTGCACCCCCAGCAAAACCCTGTATCTGATCAGTATCCTTAAAACACTGTATGAAACAATGACGAATACATTCAAAAGCAATACATGTAGTTTTCAATCTTCCAAAGATTTTGGCTTAACATCAATGTGAAGAAAACGGAGGCAATGATTGGAATAACAAACACCTTCAATTATCGGATCCATTTCTAGGAACCAACATCTCCCTAGGAAATGTTGATCTGGGAGCCATCAGGCAATTCTGTTACCTTGGTAAGTAGATTGTAGAAGATCAGCCACCGCATACCACTCAGCCAGATCAAATTTCCCAAGCACAAAAATGTCCTACTAAACAAGAAAATTGGGCCGAGGAACCAGGTGTAGTTCTTCAACTCCACACAAAGATCATCTCTGTTCAATTCTGCCCAATGTTGGAACCTGATGGAGGCGCAAAACTCGCAAATGATGCGGTGTACACAAGATCTCTTCATCGAATGGTTCAAGGAGGCTTGAAATGCATAAACAACACCTATACATACCATCTTTCAAACACAGGTATGGCACACCTGATAAGAGCGCCTCTACGCGGTATCAAGTGCAGAATGCGAAAACAAGGATGAGGAACAAGAAAAGGGCCGCTTCAAGACGTTCTTCTATATTGCTCTGACGCTTTACCCTTTGCAAACGAGGAAGGTAGCGCCGAGCTACTGTACATAGTCGTAAACTACTAAACTGAACTGACTTCTCATTGCCAAGGTTACCTCAATCACACTCATCTCTCACTGCTGAGTTAATCCCATACTCAACTCTCATATCTGAGGTTACCTCCACACTCACCTCTCATTCCAATGCCTCGCATACCCCTCCCTCGTCGAGTCATCATCCCGCCCATTCCAAAACCGCCGCTGCCGCCGCCGCTGCTGCCACCAAATCCGTAGTTGTCCATGCCAAAGAAGTTATCGTCATATCCACCCCCGAAACCTGCCGGAACAATCATTCAATTTGGGACCAACACTAAGCCCATGATTGTCATCAGCATTTGCCAAAAGAATAAATCCTAGTTCAAATTTAAATTCTAGAGCATCGTTACCGTCCACCCCTCCCAAATTAAAGGTCTTTTGTCTGTGTTCTGTAATAAAATAAATTGCTTGGAAACCACTCTCAAATTTTACACAATTTCCAGACAATTCCTGTGAATGACATACCATCGTATCTGTAGCGACGCTCAAAGCCAGAACTGGATAGTCCTCTGCCCCTGTTACCAAACACACCAGCGCCGGCGTGACGATCATATGGACCAGGCCTCTGGAAACCACGGGCAAACTTGTTGGCGCTTATAATCCGACGAATTTCCTCCAAGTTACTGTGGAAGATCTCCACATACCTGGAGATATGGAAATGGAAATGACCTCAAGTCAATTCATGTTTTATGTACACCTTGCCCTTCCTGACACTACTCTTTTGCTCACGGTAAAAAAAAGTGGCAGGATGTCTGCTCTTATGAGCAAAGGTTTATAAGTTTGAATCTCAACAGAAATACCTGAGATTACTTTTTTGTCAGGAAGGATATACATAATTATTAAGTTAAAAAGAGAGAGAGAGAAGAGAACGTCTTCTTAACAAGAAACATAACTTAACAAAATAAATACTTTTTCCTATAAAAGCCCCGGTAGTGGAAGACTTTGGGCCCAAATGTATACTACAGTTCTGTTTGCTAAAGTTCAACAATTTACAAATTTTTATGACACAAAAAATTGAATTTATAAGGCACAAATGGTACAAGTACTCAGAGTCCTAATAATCTATCTACATGTAAATAACTTGACTCAAATTTTATACATCTAAGCAGCGGCACTTCTGAGGTAGCCAAAAAAAGGTTAACTTGAGCAAAACCACGGTGAAAAGGCAGAAAAAAAAAATTTCAAACAAATATTCTGGTTATTTAGGAGTTGGGGTATTTTCCCCACTTTTTCACAAGGAACTATAAATCTTTTTGTTTGCCTCAACTGAAACAACAGCAATATTTCACATCAAAGAGACAACATTTTATCTTGAGCATTGTTTAGATTTTGCAATGTCCAGTGCGTAATCACTGAGCAGTTCATTCCCCTTTAAAAAAACAGACAGATCAAAACAAAACATTACACAGAACAAAACAAGTTATGAAAATTATGAAATTATGAAAACAAAAATTATGAAAATGAAACTTTCAGAAGTGAAGAGATTGCACTAAAAACATGGCACGTCATTTTGTGAGAAGAGCTTTGCTTTTCAACAAGCAGAGTAAAACCAAAGTATTAGTTTTAAAAATCAAACATGGTTCAAAAACATGTGATTTAGCCTTGCAAGAGCAGGTAAAATAGCAATATCAGGGAAAATGTAAATGTGCAACTTTCAAGAATGACATTTTATTTTCTGAAAATGGCCTGATGACTGTTTATACATGTACGAGTATATCGCTGATCTATGCTGTTCAGATGGCCTGTCTTGGCATTAAATTGATTGGAACAATGCATCATTTCAAGTGCCAGAGGAATGAGTGTACATGTACATAAGCCATGCAGGAACTACTCTAATGGTGTCAGAAAATATTGGTAGGATCGTTGTGGATAATAAACTCCATTGCTGAAGCAGTAAAACAATATATTTTGGGGAAAAAGGGACACCAGAACTTAGGGCTTAAAAACAGTAATAACATGTCAAACCAGAACATAGAGCCTTTCAGTAGAGGAATTACAAAGAACAGTATAACAAACTGATATACAAAGACAGGGACAGACTATACAAATCGCACAGACATGGAAAAGAGAAGACAGGGCGCCAGACAGCCAGACTCACTCCTGTAGTCATTACATCACTTCCTGGTTTCAGAATGTGTATTCACCAAGTTCAGGTTTATTGCAAACACAGTCGGTGAACACATTCATTTTCACTTATGCGCACCTGTGTTTGGCTTTTATCATCATATCCCTCCCCCCCCCCTTTTTTTTATAAAAAACTGTTTTGATTTGTATTTATTATGAAATTAAACAATACAAAAAGAACTTTATAAGTTTGAGGGTCCCCCCCCCCCAAAAAAAATCAGAATATGCCAAAGAAAAAGACGGACAGCTTTTGAGTAACTTGAATGTTTTGAAACTCCTCTTTCGTAATCAGACTTTTGTTTCCTGTCTAATCAGAACTACACAGGAAATACAGCCGACAAATCTGCGAAGTGTTTACTGTTGTGAAGTTAACCATTGTGTATTTTGGGCTCTTACGTTGTGTGCCTATAATTAAACTATACATGACCCAATTGTGAAATATGATTTCACAACTCTTATATTACCAGGAAGTCACATAATACTACCAAGGCCAACAAAACAATTAAAAGAAACACTCGTAATAACTAGTAATGACGAAATAAACAAACAAATTATTCATTTTGTAACAATCTAAAAGTGGGTCGAAATTGAACTTTTTTTAAAAAAGCGGTAATGTTTTTTTAAAAATCCCCAGAGAGGGCTAAATTGTATGACACGTAAGCACACAAAAATATTGAATATATAACGGTAGCTACCCCACCGCTATTCCAAGCCCCACCTGTGCCCTAGTTTATGCATATGATTGCCCAAAGCATTCTCTGCCAGCTCCTTTGTTGCAAATTGCACAAAGGCATCCCCGGTACACTTCCCATCCTGGTCTGTAGGCAGTGTTATCCCATTCGCCACAATCTCCAACCCTGTAGGGAGCCACCATGATACCCCCGTCGCCCGATACCACCCGGTTGACACGCCCGATACCACCCAGTCAGCCAAGGAGGTACCCATGTAGGGGGGCAAACCACCCAGTCAATCACCCAGTCGATAAGGTACCCATAAGGTATAGGAGATAAAAATAAGAGGAAAAAGATAGGAGGCAATTGGTCAATATAGCAGGCAACCTGTGGGGTAAATGGCATTCATATGACAATCAAGCACCCAGATATATATTCATACTTAAGAAACCATAGCGTAATTGAATCTAATATCATGTTTATGTAAAATTCCCCTTGGTTTAAGGCACTTTCTCACTTTCCTTAAAACCTTGCAGCAATCAAGATTTGAGAGGTACAATTCCAATGTAACAGGCATACAACTTTTCCCTCAGATCAGCCAATTTCCTTGTTTTTCACTTCACACTTATGCCATTAACAATAGAAAAACACCTGTCTTGGAATTCCCTCTTTTTTTGTTACTTCTCAGTTGCATGCCTGGTGTAAGACAACTCTGAAACCACCAATGAACAACTAAACATGCAAACCAATCCCATGTGTGCTCGAGGGGTATGCAAACTCTATAGACAAACTTTTAATTGAGGGAAAACTGCATGGGTTTCCAAAAGTCCTAGTGAGTTACCAGTGGCCTAAAATAAAATACACACATGATAACAGGTACTTGCAAAATGAGTTTGAGCAAACGATTCAAAATCCAAGCACATGACGTGATGGACTAGAAAAAGAACATTTAGTGAAGACGAATGCATGTTCATGTACATGCATGGGGCTTTAGTGAAACGTACATTGACTGCCACTGTGTTTTCAATTTTCTGTATTTGCAATGATTCAGGAATCAAACACCAGGGGTTACAGGATATGGGCAAAGAATGTGGTCAAAACAAAATAAGTTTTCTTTGAAATTGGTGCTCGACTCAAAGTTTCTGGTCGACTGCCAAGAACTGAGAGACATTCATGCTGCAATGTTGTTACATGTATTAACATGAATATATTTGTTATTAAATAACAGATCTTCATGTCAGTTCTGGACTTTTGGGATTATTCAGACAAGGGAACTCTGGAGTTCAATTGCACAATTTGGGAAAACCAAATTCATCTTTGAAAAAGTATGAATTGGAAAAAACGGTTGAGGAGATTTTCTTTTAAAGTTTCATAATAAATATTTACTCAACCCCATTCGTAAAAGACAGCTTTCAATGAATGAAATTTCTGATGTTCAACCGAAATCTCAATTTATTTGAAGCTGATTCTTCGAAATTCAAATCAGCTCAAGTCAACTCAAGCACATTTACTGTTTAAAGGAGCATTCAAACACTTTCTGGCTGATGACCAATGACAAGAACAGTTCTGCAAAACTAGCAAACTGCTAAAGGGATTTAGGCAGGTTTCAAGAAGTCTCTAAATACTCTTGACCTTTTCTCTTTTACTTTTCATAATTTCGCTTAGATTTTTGGTAAAATATAGCATTGTTTGTATGTTGGACAAGGTTTATATACATACCCTTAAAGAACTGCATGATTTCCTCCTTAGAGCACTCATAGGGAATACCTCTCATACGGATACAGGCATCGTTGTCTTCGAAGGATGCAGCCCCACTACGCTTCATCACCCATTCTCTCTCCTCAATCTTAGATCGGAACACTGATAAAGGATCAAAAGGGGTCACTTGAATTCAATGAATTCAAAGTATACGCCGACTTCATATCTTAATTTGCAGATATTTGCGTGCTGCGGCTTATACTCCAGGAGGCTTATATTCCGAAAATTACGGTAATCAATTTACTAGAGCAGTACTCACTCTAACAGATTCAATCAAATGCTGGTGTTGGAGTTTGACTGGATGGGAATTGTTAGGCTTAATCCCACCCACTGGAATAAATCATGTTAATTGACTGGCAAGTTAATATGCAGTGTTACCTTCAATATAACGTGATCCGATTTCCTTCTTGTGCTTTGACATGGCATTCTCAAAGTCTTCCTCGGTTTCAAACTCGACGAAGCATTCTCCGCTTGGACGGCCATGCTTGTTGAATGTGAAACAGATTCCATCCTTGCCACCCAAAATGTTACAACCTGGCAAAAAGTAAACCAAATAAAATCCCAACATATCAAATGAAATCCAAGGAAACAGTTGACATTAAACCCTGTAAATCATGCAAAACAAGGGGGTATTTAGAGGATGTAAAATCTTATTTTTTATTTCAATACATGTACGTTTTTGATTCAATGTTTGGTAACAAACAGAAGGGGGGGGGAACAAAGCTTGACATTGAATTTAAAGGACTGTTGTGGGTAGGCACTAACATACCATCAAAGAAGTTGATAATGTCTTCTTCCTTGCATGACCAGGGAAGTCCCCTGGCTCTGACGACGTAACCGTCCGATTCTTCCGTTCCTGGTGCAACACTCATGTTGATTGATAATGCTCAATGTCACAGATTGAAAAACACCTGTAGAAAGAGCTAGGACAAACAAGTTGCCATGATGTTAAATTTCAGTCAATCATGTTCATACGGCGGAAAAATATGTAAAAACAAAGTTGCAATCCACCTTGCTTTCCACACATTTACAAGTATATGTAGGCCTGAATATAAAAATGAAGATAAAAAAAAGAACAAACAATAATCAATTAAAATGTACATTGTGTAATTTCGACTAAACTAAGTGCAATTGTTGGAAATGGACATAAATAACCAAATGAATAAAAAAAATATCATTACAAGTTGTTTAACACAGTAATGTCAGATGCGTGCCCTCTTCTTCATAAATTATAAATGTTTACTAACCCAAATCTCACGACTAGTTGTCGATCAGCCTTCCCTGCCTACGCATAAATGCCCTAGAAAATGGCTTCCTTTTTGTATACAGCTAAAAATGTTATGGCTAGGCCTCATATATACTGTGTTTATTTCATTTATGGTGTTTTAAAGACTTAACTTTCCTCTATCACACTATTCTGTAATGATGGGTGAAATACAGACAAGACTACAGAAAAAAGAATGTACATGTAGGCCTAGTACTAAGTAGGACCTATTTTGATGTCACTTTGGTGGTTGTGGACAAAATTTGGGACTCTCAATATTGTGTATGAGAGCAAAACACACATATACACGACAGATAGTGAAAACATGCAATCTGACATGGCAATACAAGAAAATAGACAAGCATTTGAAACATCTGGTACCTAGTCTTTACTTCTACACATTGTCTCCATAGTCATGCCACCAGATAACCAGACTACTATATGGTGGATATTTTCAAAAAGTTGAGTATTCATGTACCAGTCTAGTCTTAAGCTTCAAATTGAAATCAGTTTGCATCACTCTCAGGTGCAAATTGGAGAAGAGGTCTCCTTTAAAAATTGAATTGAGACCTCAATCTTGGTTAGTGAAAAACTGAGGACCTTGTCTGTACCTCGTTTTGGAGAATTTATCTGCCAAAGAGTGAGAAAAGATTGCCTGATTTTGTTTCGCTTGTTTTTCTGCCCTCTTTGTCCTCGTCTGGTGGTTGTATAATGTTACTCGGAGTGATGAAAAGGATATTCAATGTACATGTACATGTACATGTACATGTATTCAAGGATATTGCAAGAAGGCAGTTGTCGGCAGTTTTGACTGTGAACTGGTCCCTGCTTTTTTTCTCTCTCTCACCAGCACCAAGTCTCTACAGTGAATGATTTTAGGAATTTTTAAAATCATTTTCACTGTGACTGTGAGGAAACTTGGTCTGGTTCCGGTTTTACATTGTTTCAATTTCGTATAAATTCAGACAAAATGCAATTTTGGGCTTCACCCAAGACCACTACTACTAGTACTAGGCCTACTAGTCTAGTTCCTGTTTTTTAAACATGTTAAATAATCTTCCAGAGTCGGCCAAGAATATATAAAAAATATGAAATATTCTGCAATTAAATGTAGGAACACATTCGATTAAAAATAAGAAATAAAACTCGCGCTTTAAAGTTTAAGAATTTAAAAAAATATGCATAAACACACATGCACAGTGCGCACGTTTATGTGCATGCATTGGAAGTGCCATCACAGTTTCCACAAGAGCAGAAAAAAGGAGGGACTGGTTCACGGTACAGTAGTCACGGTCAGGTGACGGTATACTATTACTATTACTAGTATTAACAAACACTTTGAAGTTTGATTCAACAATGTCACTGACATTGACAGTGTTGTCATTCAGTATCAATTATGCAATAATGTCATTCACCAATCATGGCTCATGCCAAGCAATGCTTGCCATACTTGCAATGTCATCGATTGCCAATCCTGATTCCTAATTCCTGTCAAGGGTTTTTTCTTTGTCCCAACTTAAACTAGGATTTTTAGTAGGAAGATTATTTTTTTCAACATGCAAATTAGTTTTGGTGACAGGATACTGTTACTGTATTCAACACCATACTTCACTTTGTCACGTCTTAAAATTAGTTTTGTGAACACCGTCTACGGATTTGCCGGTCTAGGTAGCTAGGCCTGCCTAGTTTTAACTGCACAACTTGATGATGGCGGGTGCCAGTCTCCAACGCGCGGCCGGCCATGTCCCATCAAACACCCGTCCGGAAACTGGACAAAGCTACAATACAATAAACCGTGATAATTCTCCATTCCTTATACAGAAAACGGTTACACAAAACCGACCAAAATACACCACATAACACAATACACCCTGTATTACAATAATTTGTATGATTTATAAGCTAAATAATACAATTTCTGAACAACTTACGTTTTGAACGGAGCGTGGAAAGCACAATCTTATTTAACCAGAACGCGCATGCGCTATCCCCGATCGTTGTCCGAATGTAAAATGTATTGCCCGAAGGACACTGGCTCCCATCTAGTAAGTGATAACAACAATAAAGGTACCGAAAACCAGTCTGCTCTCGAGCATTTCCGAGAATTACCGGAAAATACCGAACAATGGGAATTTTCACAGACTCGGGTAAAACTAATAAGTACTGTGTAATAAACTACACTGCCGTGACTCGGTTTTGTTTTTTAATGGATAATCGGGAAGGGAACTTTGTGATGAACTAGGTTTGTTTGTGTGAAATTTCTGGCGTTAGTTTTGGATAATATCCATCATTATGTACCCGGTAACTAGTATCTTCTTTGTCACAGTCCGGGCGGTTCTACTGTAGGGTCATTCTGTAACGTCAATGAATGGGCGTTCAGCTGGCTGACTAATGTTATGATACTATTACAAATGGGGCAGCTTGAAAATACAGAAATAATGGTATGCCGTTAGCATACTATGCTAACGTCCCTAAATTTATTCTCAAGTTGCCTTAGAATTGCGGGAGAATAATCGTAGATTTCAAAATGTTCTGGACGTGCATTCGGGCACGGCATGCATTCACTCACCCCCCGCCCCTTCATCATTGAACCCCCTTTTTCCTGAAAGCTAGATCCGCCCCTATAACCCATCCCATACCCGCTTTTAAGTTACTTTGAAAAACAAATTTGGCAAGTATGTGCACCCCCTCAACCCCCCCCCCCCCAAAAAAAAGAATTCTAGGAGGCAATCGACGGCCACAATGGGTGTCATTTTCATCAGAGTTCAGTACCTGGTTGTGCAACATGATACAGGGAATATAAATAATCCATACGAAATTCACTTTTCATTTCACCCACCCACAGACGGCTACTTCCGGCTGGGATCTACGTGAAATTTCCCCGCGATGGGCCGCGCCACAAACTCCCACTTTCCGGCTTATGTTTTCACCATCAAGATTTTCCACAGGTTATCGGGTCACGATTTTAACAGATCACGTCGTTATCGATATCTTTATATGAGTTCAATACAACACCCTACCTCAGTTGATAGACGAAAACATTGTAATTGCAAAGTTTAATGGTTGTCGATGTCACTGAGTGGTGAAAAAAATACAAAAACGTTTCACGTGCACGGTGACTAGAAACCCGTCTTACTTGCACGAGACTAACTTAATGTAAGCATTCAGTGGATTCAAATGGTGCATATAGGACTCTTAAACTAAACTGTTTTCCCGACAAGGCCTGGGAGTAAATCTCTTCTCAAAAGTGGGAGAACATACCTTGATCAGCACTGCGAGCGCGAAGCCCTAACAACGTGGGGTTCGGGCCCGCTTAAGGGCAATTTCTGACCACTAAAACTATTTTTAAAGCAAAAGATAATATTTTAAACATCATTTTTGAGTTTGGAGTAATTAAATCAGCTATTCTGAGCTATAGAATCATCATGGTAGGCTACAATTTTTATTTGGGAACCATAAAAGTGGGGAGGGGGGAGACAAACGATATGCTATACCCCAACTTTAAAAAGTGGAGGTCCCCCCCCCCCCCCCCCTCGCCGGTCCCCCACGTCACCGATTGACGTCCATGTTTCCAGCACGGCAGTTGCGGTCGTTTCCTGAGATTTTATGCCGGGGAATCCCCAGAAAGTCTTCCCCAAAATCAGTTGCACTTTCTCTCCTATTTTGGACGCGGAGGAATAAGGGGATTGACTGGTAAAACTGACTTGAATTCCTTGCATGCAATTCTCAGAAGTCATTAGAAAATTCCCAAAAAGTTAAACTCGATCTCTCCCATGTGATGAAGCTCCTCTAACATTACACGCACCGGTTTTGGAAAACGATCATCACATTCTGTTTTATTTTTCAGTCTTTTATTTTGCTTTGAAAATGACAATAGGCCCTATACCGATGAAATAATTTTCCAGAAAAAAAAACGATTAGCTTAGGGAAACTGTATGCAATTTCGAAACACCAAAAATGGCTTGATGTTGAAATACGAGTCATTTCCGGAAGATGTTCTCACTACTGATTTAATGTGATACGCGGAAATTGGAAGTGATACCTGGGCCATCCTGTGATGCAAAATAGTTAAAAATAGATTAATGTGGGAATTTCCACTTTCACTTTTCGTCTATAAAAGTGGCTCGTTCTTGATTGCCAGACATCCACCGAGGCGACAACGACCACTGAACAATCTCTTGGAGTTCTGAAGGCGCTTCAACCTGTAGTTGTCTTCCCATTTAGCTCCTGTAGTCCAAGTTGCTAACGTCCAAGCATACACGCATCACATCACTTCTAGATGGAGAGAATACTCAATCTCCGAACTCTCCTGATGATCCTGCAGGCTTGGGCCATTGTAGGCTTCGTATCATTCGACTCGGCAGGTATGTTGGCCAATCTTTGGTGCACGATACGAGATCTTTTTTAAACTGTTGTAAACTGAAATTTTGCATAAACATCCTCCACAACTTCAAAAGAGCATGACTTGCAGGACCTCTCTAGTGTTTTTTTTTTTTGGGGGGTGCCGGTTAATTTTTCAACTGTTTCCACAACGAAGATCTTTTTTAAGTTCCTGAATACATGGTATTGGCACTGCACATCTGAAAACAAATCCTTGTTTGTTCACTATTCCGATAGTTATACCTCCTTTGACTGCAACCTCATTTATTCAAAAATTGTCAATCTTCGCAATTCCTATTTAAAACTAGAAACATTCCTCGATTTTGTCAGATAAAGGATACGGAAGACCGGCTCACTTTTTCTGAATGATTAATAAATAATTTTATTTCTGATTGACAGACTCCCTGACATCAATGATGACACCTCGCGAGCAAAAGGTACCAGAAGGAGAGATTTTCGAGCTGAAATGTGTGTCCCGGAGAGTTCTTACTAACGGCTCCCGGGTGCGTAACGAACTATACAAAGTGGAAGGCGACAGTCGTTCCTACTTGTCGCCATCCGAAGCTAACGCTGGTGAGACGAACTACACGATGCCAGGACCTGACAGGGCTACGGTAACCACTATCTTCAGACTACAAGCCAAGGAGAACTCGGCAGGGAGGTACGGGTGTGTACCAATCCTGGAGAATGCTACACGGCCCGCTACCTTCACATCGAACCAGAAACGAAGGGAGGTGACAGTGCAAGTTTGTTCAGGTGAGTTGTAAAAATCATGTGTATGGCGTTATTGAAAACGATTGGAAAGAAACAAGAATTCTTGAGTTTGTGTGTTCAAGACAAAATAGATATACAAACAATATAAACTCAAACAGTACAATACAGTAAAACAAAACAAGTTGATCCTTACAGAATCCCATGAGTTCGGCATACTCATTGTAGGTTACGCAGGTTGTTTGCCTATTTACGTCGCCGATACGAGTACAAATCGTATTTCGCTTTGAGTTTGTAGTGAACAGTACCAAATTTCGGCTCTCTGTAAAGATTTCTTTCTGTTAACTTTTCCCGACAGAGCCAGAACTTGAAGTTGAAGATATCGAGAGCGACGGAGAATTGATCTATGTCGGCGCTGAGAGTTGCGGCTACAACGGCGAGTTGACATGGCGTGTAAACGGTCGCCAAGCACCCCGAAGATCAACACCAGACGACGAACGATTTCCAGTCGTGGAAAGAGAAGACAGCTCGCTGAAAATCCGCAGCGCGAGATGTCATGATGAGACGATACACAACACGTGTGAAGTTACTGCTGTCTTCACGTACATTTCTGCCGAGAAGCGCGTCACGAGCGCCAGCAAGACCAAACAGATCCCAGGTGAGATAATTGAAAGTTGTCCAAAGTACACTTTTATAGCGTCATTAATTTTGAAGAGTGGCAAGTTCGTGACGAATTAATGATAGTGATGGACGGTCACACTTGGAAAATCAAAAATAAATACAAGTTTTTGGAAGTATTTTTGGGCCAAAGTAAGTATTCAAAAACCATGAAACCTTTCGAACCCTTAGGCACCTATTTTATAATTAATTGTGAATTGAGCATACATATCATTTTATCAATCATTTTTAACCATCTTCCAAACAGATTGCTGTGTTCAAGACGTCTTCCTGCCTACTACTGAAATTGAGACAAATGCGGGTAAGTACAGACCTATAGCACCCCGTTAGTTTGTTCAATAATGGTTTTTTTCGGAGACTTTTCTTTGGGGATTCAGGGGCTACACACGTACCCTATCGTTGTTTTGCTTTTTAACTCGAGAACAAAAATAAGAAAAATAATTTGGTTCAAGTTACTGGTCTCTCTCGCGCTGGTATACATATTACAATACAGGAAACATTAACAACTTTTGGATTCCATTATTTTATGTTATAGATACGACCACCAAAGCATCATCACCAGCCATCTTCCCGACTCGTTCCGTGGACGTTGACGAGAAGGAAGTCTTGGCTCTTGAAAAGCAAGTCCTAAAGCTCAAGCTAGAGGCCCTACCGATGCAGATCAGGTTCTTGAGACGGTTGAATAGAGATCACTCCCAGGGTAGAGACATGGAAAAGGTGGAAGATATCTAGATGAGTTGACGCATCCTTGAATTTTGGCAAAGTCAAGACAAGTACCGTAATTCATTAAGCGCTATTGCGATTAAACAAATTACTGTTTATATAACATATATTGTATGTTAATTGTGCATGTTTAAACACGTTCAAAATATAACCGCACGTTTAAAACATGTTCAGTATTTTAAGAGGTCGTTTTCAATTAAATCAAATAATTGCATCAAATAATGCAAACTGCTTACTGACTGAGTTAACATGTCAAAATCATAACAGTTTGAGGGCCTGTGGTTTCGATCCTAGCAAGATCCTACTTAGACAACTGTAAGTTAGCCATGATAACCATGCCGAATTTTGGGTCACTAAAAAGAAATAAGAAATGTATTTGGAGGGGATTTTTTTTAAATGCGCCCCAGTTTTTACTATGTTTATATTTTGAAAATGTTGAAGCATATTGTATTTATTGATCATGATTTGATAAAGTTGCCTACAATTTATAATTACCAGTACTGATAAGTATAGCACTTTGAATTAAATAAGGCGATGTATTACATAATGAGCATGATTTTAGATGAAAGTGCTGTGTCTTTTCCTGTAAAAATTATCAAGTAATTTAAAGAACAGTTTTATTTTCTGGTAAGCTGATTATACTAAAATAAAAGCAAGTGATGACAAAAAGATGTCGTGCTTCACTTTATTAACATTTGTTATATGTCTAAATTGATGCGTTACACAAGGCAGTTGTGACAGCTGAACTTCTGAAGCTATTTTGCATGTTCCTAAGCAATTTAGAACGCTGTTCAATTAAATTCTAAACATCAAGATAGACACAATATAATTGAAAGATTGTATTAATAATGGAACTGATTTGCTTAAAATATTAAGGTTGAAATTTGAACATTACTCAAGGTGCACTGGTAACGAAATATTATTCCATGATAACATTCATGTAAAGCAACCTCTATCTACAATTTCTCAACACAAATTAGAATAATATGCTGCGATAAGTTTAAATACACCAAAAACCAGCAATATCCCCAAGATCTATTGTAAAAGTCACCAAGTCGATAGGATACAAGTTCAATGAAGCACTTTGCAGTAGAAACTAGTGCTACTTGACACTGGATAAGGGAATCTTTGGATTCTTGTCCAACACTATCCCTAAAAACAGAAAGCTGAGGCCTGAAAAACGTATCAAAATGGGCTATTGGGTTAAAACTGTAGTCTATACAAACATATATCATATGATTAAACACAATTATTATACCGATAACCGATTATTAACACCTTCGTGCATTATCGTACAAATAAGCACAATATATTACTGGAGCTATTGCACTGACAAAAACACCGTAATAAGAACATGTATATGTCTAATGGCTGACCAATGATATCATGCATATTTCAAATGGTACTTATTAATTAATGGTAAATATTTAATTAAAATTAATAACTTTTCCTAAAACAGTTATCCAAGTATCAAGAAATCACATTTAAAATTACACAGATCTCTAACAACAACCCTTTCTAGACTGTTCAGCTTTTTGAATAATAACCCATGGTGTGAAATCCGGAATAAAAATAGGCTCACAGATCCTTTCAAAAGGAAACTCTCTCAACAGTTCAGTGGAACACCAACAAGGTTTAGTTGGACTCCTATCTAGGTCAATTTATAAATTGTTGGTATTACTATTAGTCCATTGGTTGAATCGGATGTGTTTAGGCTGAACAGAATAGACACAGATGTACTGCACCCATTCATCGGAGGGGGGGGGGGGCGTTGGTGTCTTCAGTTAGGTTAATAAGAATATATCTATTGTTGTTAATTGATCGACCACCAACCAAGGAAAACCAACTTTTTTAATTCCAATTAATATCAAATTAGAGAACAATATTAAAAACTAGCAAAAGTCATATTATGACATTAAAAAACACATTACTTATTCTAAATCGGCCACTTCAATAGCTAGAACGATAATATTACCTTCATTGAATAAAATCCAGCAAAACAAAATGGGAAACAAATACTTAGTTTACGTATCCTGTAACGAGTAAGAGGGTAAAGATATTATAAAGAGCGCCCTCGAGTGGACACTCTAGGCAATCCTTCTATAAGAATAAAATAAACCTACACAGGATCAAAATTGTTAATTGCCGTGATGATTTACATGTACATGTAACATATAACACCCTGCATGTTATTAGTGAGACGTTAAACATTTGTCCGTGATCCCGTACTCTTCACATCTAGTGTAACGCTTTTTAAAGACTATTTTTAGGTTCTTTTAATCATTCATCTGCATATTGTTTTTTTAGCTTTATATGAACAATGAAAATGTATATGCATGCAAAAATTGCTGAAAAGTTTGAGTAATTCTCTTGTTTATCTTGGATAATTTCCGATAGTAGGAGTTACATTTATCCCTGACACAAACTGCAGCACTGCACATCTAAACAATAATAAACTACCAACAACATGGTAACAACATGGTTTTTCTGCATTATGTACATTAACATCAAGTTTTCTGTATGTACAATATATATATTGCATCATCACAACCTGCTACAGTTACTCCAAGCTGCTAAAAATAGCACTGTGCATCTATAAAACAAACACTATTTTGCGATGCAGAGTTTTTATGCATCACTGTAACGTTTAACCCTTCCAGCAAAAGCCTTCTCGAGTCAACCTGTGAACAATCAGCGGCTCTTTTAGACAGGGAATTTTACTTGCAAACAACACAGAGAGTATCAATACAATCAGGTATTTGACGGATCAGACTTCAAGTGATCGTGCAGGTTCATTTCATTCTGTGCAGGTTGTTTGCAGATTGTTTGCGAGAGGGACAGATTGAAAAAAGTAGTCATCAAAATGGTTGAGATGACACAGATCTTTATTTATAGCCAATAACAAGTGAAACAACTGATATGAGTTAATGGGAAGCCGCTGTGTTCAATTAAGAATCATTGTGGCTACATGAAATCCTGGCACAGCCTATGTATATAATCCATAGCCACAGTCATCAAGCATCTATGGTCTGATTCCTGTACTTACAGCTGTGATTACCGGCACTTTGATTTCCTTCACATGGGCAGGATACCAGTCTTATTCAAGTGCTCTGTGAGTTGTTTGTATACCATCAGTTGGTCTTCAGCACTCAACTGGAATATTTGCTGGACAAGCTTCTGTGGGTAGGAAGACCTGAAACCAACACAATCAGACATGCACATCAATCATGAGGTAGCTGAATAAAAAGTTCCCAAAGTTTAAGTTTGGAATGATATATCAATAAAATAATTTGGACAGATGTTGGTACTGATCGTTTTTCATGATAACATTGAAATTGTTTCAGTTTTAGTCTTCTGCCTAACGCCCCTTGATCAAAAGACATTGACACCTGCGGAACCGCCAACATAGAGCTGGATAGCTCACTTGGTAGAGAACTGGAATTGCAATCCAGAGTTCGCAGGTTCAAACACTGCTCAAGTCAATTTCTTTGTTCAACTTAAAAAAAAAAAAAAATTATATCCCAAAAAGTGTAAATACAAACACTTGTCAGCACAACCATTGTGAGAAGCATGCATTTGATTAAAGTTGGTTGAACCTTTTGCATGACTAAACAGAGTTCTTGCTCCAACTTGTTTATGTTTTCTTCCACTTTTCTTACAAGACCCAACTTACTTGAGGAAGGTCTGTAGGTATACATAGAGGAAAGAAGCCATTAAGAACTGGCAGTCAAAGCGATCCATGATCCCTCCATGGCCAGGAATTACATCACCAAAATCCTACAAAATGAGAGAGAATTGTTTTTTTTGTGAACTCATGACAAGTGTAGAACCTGTTATAAGGATAGACTGATGAGTTAACGTGAAGGCAATGAGTTTTAGGCCAGGTTGCAACATAAATTAATTTCAAAACATTTCACACAAATTGGCCACAATACTTTTACCAAAATAGAGGTGTTCAAACAATGTATACACGAGTGAATATTGGTAGTAAACTTATAAATGTAGTGCAGTATTCCTACCACCATGGTTATCAAGACTTCAAATCAATCGCCTTGTAACAAAATAGTGCATTAAAAACATGAAATTAAATCAAACAATATGGCAGCTATGACTTTGCCTTGATAATTATAGGGCTAAGGTTGTGGCTAACATACCTTGATCTTGAATGCCCTCTTGAAGCCACTAGCAAAGAATCCACCAAAGGGGCTCACCAGAGAGGCAAATAGGCCAATGACGGCAGCGTGTATGTACAGTGGTAAGGTGGTGAACGTCTGCCACTGGATACCAACCTACAAACAGACAGTCAAACATGAACAGACAGTACTGGTCAAGACACACCTTATTGGTAATAGGGTGCATATGCCTACTCAACATAACCGACAAAATAAATTTGGGCAGTGGAGACATCTTACTAGTTAAGTGACGAGTGAGCATGGAATGTACAGGCTTTGTTCCCAGTGCTAATCTTTCCACAATGTTTTGTGCTTCCTTCATATATTTTGTCCAGAGATTAGTTACCATCAAAACTGTTGAACAAGGCAGTGGGTGTGACTAGTGCACGTTGGTTGTTTAATCTGTGTCTAAGTTTGACCCAAAAACATTCTTGTGAAGTGACAAAGAATTCTTATTGACTTACCAAAGCCAGTGAGCTCTGCATGAAGATGGGTACGTTGTATTCCTTGGGATAGAAGGTGACTGATGGCTCACATTCCATGACAAACTCACCCTTCTCTTCATCAAACTACATCAAGAAGCAGTGACAAGATTACTTGGACTACTCATAGTTTGTTAATAAGACCAGACTAGGCTTGCCTAAATCGAGCTAGACCTGAACAATATCAGTTTACGACATTTATATTCAGTGACCGTTAAGTGACTCAGTCGGTCAGTCAATCAAGCAGTCATTGGGGGATTCAGTCAGTCGGGGAGTCAGGGAGTCAGCCAGTCAGTGACTTAGTCAGTCAGAGGACAACAGGCTGGCCCTTCGGGTCCAGCAAAAAAATCTAAAGCGGTGCAGGACAACATAAGACTGTTTGCCAAATGAAAACAGAAAAAAGGGACTCATGTGGACCTTTGACAAGGATATTGAGTTTGTTTTAAAGCCAATCATAAATCATAAAGAAGACATACCTCAGGTGGGCAGGCAAAGAAGTTGTAGCGTTTGAGAAAGCTGGCAACCTGAATGAAAAAAAATAAATTAGTGAATATTCAGAAATTGAATGAGTTATTCCACACAGTGGATGTATTATAGTAAATAATATAGACTGGTTAACAAAAGTATATACTTTTCCAAAGGTATGAATAAAGTTTACAATTGTACAAGTCAAAGCAGTTACATCTACGTGATGTTTGTTCTTACAATGACAATGAAGATGACGGTTGAGAAGCAAGCTCCAATGAAACCCTCCCAGGTTTTCTTGGGTGAAAGTTTGATGAGTGAAGTCCGGCCAAAAAAGAATCCTGTGCAAGCAAAATTAATTAACAAATAAATAACACCAATATGTTAACAGTCTAATCAAACCATGAGTACATTGTTGTATTTTTGACAAAGGAATTGAGATGATTGTGGAACCACTTTCTACTGTGTGCCAGGCTTTCAAAAGTGTAATGAGGCAGGAATACATTAAAATTTTCAAAGCAATACAAGGGGCGAAAGCCACGGCCAAAAAATCTTGAAACTGTAGCTCGATGGACATTTTGCAAAGAACCTTCCTCAATCCTCAAAATCCTCCTCTGGGCAGGAAAACAAGGACACATTGGTCAATCTTAAAACGTCAAGAGTCATGCAAAGTTGTAATTATTTCGCCTTGGGTCTTACCAAACATGTAGGCCATGATGTCATTACAGATGACCGATGTCGTTGAAAGAAGAAACCAGATGATTCCTTCAAACATGCTCTGAACGATCAGATTGGACTGAGTGACGACAATTAGGAGAGCTATGTGGGTCCAGCCAAACTGAACACCAGCAAAAAATAAACAAAATTACAAGTATTAAATTGACCATGTTATGCCTGTTAAATGAATTTCATTCGTGTTCACCTGATGGTAAATGTCAATTTGGATGTACATTTAAAACTGCAGAATACACTTAAGAATCCGCATCTCGCAAATAATTTGCACATTTTTTTCATCACAAAGGGCATGGTCCTGCAAACATGTAATAGAAATTTCCCTGATTGGTGAAATCAGTGCCCTGTGAATGGGGTGGGCCGGTGGGGGTGGGAGGGGGGGGGGGCCTGCCAAATGATCAGAGATACTGTCTTACCAGGGTGAACTGAACCAGATATTGAGATTTCCTCAGTGACAACACAAACAACATGAAGCCTGCAATTAAGAAAGAAACAGTTAGGTTAAATTATTGTGCAAAACGCATGTACATCAATTTATGCATATCAATCATCACAGAGGGTTTTTAGAATTTAAATTAAATGTAAGAAAAGTGAGTACACATAAGGTCTACTCAAGAGAAAGAAAAGAACTGCCCTCTAAAATGGCCGCTATGCAAGGGATGTTACTGGTATCCTAGACGTAAACAAAACATTTCTCAACTGTACATGTACAAAAGCACATGTATATTGTACATTATGAAGAAGATTGTAGATACACACAGATACAAAGCCAATCCATTAGCAGCAGGTGCATAAAACAAGTCAGAGAGATTTCCAATGACCCTAGGCACATGATATCAATCTAATATCAGCTACTTCTATCGAATGACTGATAATGTCATGTCCTTGTGACAGGTGAAATGAAATTGCTACAACAGATTGAGCTCATAATGGGCAGAAATTATAATGTCACACAATGGTTACAACAGATTGAGCTCATAATGGGCAGAATTATAATGTCACACAATTGTTACAACAGATTGATCTCATAATGGGCAGAAATTATGATGTCACACAACCAGATGGTGCATACAGTAAGGCTACTACACCCGTACAATGTACATGTACATGAACAAGGAATTTGTGGTAAACTCATTCAAAGAGACCATAAATATGAAATTATAAATAATTTGTGCAGGTATCAATGTCTCTGTTGTATAAAAGATAAACAGGATAACCCTTTTTCCATATTTTGCATTCATTTATTACTTCGGTTTGTATGTCTGAAAGTAATTGTGATTCAAAGGCGCCGGTGTGTGAAAAGTCAATGCGTGAAAGATTTGTGAAAGACATTATGTGTGACAGAGAAACCGCATGAAGAGGTAGTATCTACATACCAAACATGTAGAGCCAGAAAGCAACAAAGCGATAGTAGTCAATCAATGGCTGCAGAAATTCCTGCAAAGGAAACACAATGAAACCTTTGTAAAATGGGAATATTTTAGTAGCTTTAAGGATAAGACTCAGCTGTTTGGGCTGTCCCGAATATACCCAATATTAAAATATCATCAACCCAATATTCAAATAGCATTTTTGGCGGTTTGAATATTCAAAAGGAAAAAACTGTGCACGTGCACACCTGACTCTGATGTTATTTTAATCTAAAATTTGCACTTGTTATTGTCAGATGCCACTTTTTGTTGATGTAACATTTTGTCGACACCTATTTATTGGCCCCATTCTTTCTTTTAGCTGATTAAATTCCATTGACAGTTACACAGTACTGACTGCAAAACACTCAAGTGGCCAATAACATCCATTGTCCCATGTACATTTTAAACGACGCTCTTTGTTGGCAACTTTTGATCAGCGAGGAAGGCAGCTGCAGCTGCAGCTGGCCTGTGTAAAATTTGATCGGCGAGTTTTGAATATTTGTATATTCTGTCAAGCACATTTTCGACTAATCAAGTTCTAAATTATTCAAAAAAGGACAGCCCTAACGCTGTAAACTGTGGGGTCATTGATGCAGGCTGTGAAGTTAGAAAGTACACATGAGGTGCAACGCTTGATGGCATAAAAAATTATGTCGTTCCTAATGCAAGACATACCAGGTCTCTGTGGAGCACAATACCAAAGTAATCCTTCATACTCTGGCCATAGACGAAGTAGTTGGCACATAACAGGAAGTACCAGCTAAGTGTGCGGAACCAGGGAAGGTCTTGTGAGCGATATACAGCGTGTCCGATGGTGATGATCTCATGAAAACACATCATCTCAATCAGCAGCACCTAGGTCGAGAAACATCCAATCAGAAACATGTATGCAATAAATGTAAAACAGAATGTGCATGACCGACAGAGGGCGCTGTTCATATTGGTATGGAAGCAGTTTCCCAACTGATTTTTGCTTTAGCACATATATATATCTCTTGATCAAGTGCGAGTGTGAATGACTTACCAGGCCAGTGATTGCTACAGGTCCACAATAAATGATGAACGCAAACGCTGCCACCATCACGATGGAGAAACCACCTCGAATAAACCAATTCTGCCATCTAAATCAAAAACAAGGAATACATTATTAAAAATAATTTAATATGACTTGTATTCATGTCTAATTTACATCTAACGTCACAAACCATAAAGGATAACAAACTTTTTTGACAAGCATCACTTAATAAAGACTGTGACTATCATCAAAGAGTTGGTTTGTCCAGTTGGTAGAGTACTGGTACAGACTTCTGCAGGTGACAGGTTCGAATCCTGCTCCAGATCATTTCTCTGTTCAAGCCTCTACTGCATTCATTTCCTGTTCATTTCATACCTTGGTGGTAAACCTTTCAAGATGGATGGTACAGTGTCTTTCTGGGCTGGGATGGGTGGATCAGATAGCTGCGGTAGGGCTTCCTGCAAATCATCAGGTGGCTTGCAGCCAGTAACAGGCTTCTATAGTACACAAATAAATAAACGTATGTAGGAAATAAAGTATGTAATGAAATTAAATAATTGTGACGATTGTGAGAGACATTGTTAGAGCTGGCAGGTAAATGCCAACCCTCAGAATGAAATGCTATTTACAGTATATTATTAATTAAATCATACTTATAAACTATCATGTCCATAGCAGTTGAGAGCTAACTGAGCTTCCATATAAAATGCCATTAATTATTCCGGGTCACAAATTATGTCACATGTATAACTTCTTCAAACAGCATGCAAGTCACATGTGTAATTGTAAACTTCACATGTAAACAGCTTTTAATTTATAATTCTTCCCTGCAAACATTGCATAGTATTAATACAATGTAGGCTGAAGATAAAATGCACCTTAACATGCAAACAATTTTGAGTTCACATTTTGTACATGAAATACATGCAATTGAGCATACTTTTCTGGATCTGAATCGATCTGAGCATAGAGCAAGGAACAGAGCAGCATCACATCAGAGTTTTTCAGTTCTACTGTTCATAATTTATTCCCACTACCCTGCTACATGTACCACCATCTCCCCTGTAGGCTGTATTGACATGTCTGGATTGTGGAATGTCCAATGTATACACCACTCACCAGCTGTCTGTGATAAGGGCAAGGCTAATCAAATCTATATGAGGCAATTTATTTGGTTGCCATGGGATACCATACCTACGTCTACCTATACTGTACAAATTTGATGTTAATGGGCAGACATCTTCACAAGCAGATATGACAGAATGACGTGGACAGTATGCAAGGCTATAGAACATGTGTGTGGATCAGCAATTTTCACTCAAAGAAAGTGTAAATTGATGTACCGGTAAAGCCAGGTAAAAAAAACCCAGTTTCTCATCCCCGCCAGCTTAATTTTTCCTGCCTGCCTCTGGTTTTTTAATTCATATATTTGCAATATATTTTGCAAATATATTGTCAATATGTCTTTTTATTTGTTCCCAACAAAATTGTAGCTATGCAAAAAGGGTTACTGCTCCTTTGGACACAATTTTATATGTCAGCAAGAGTCGACAAAATGGAAGAATTTGTCTGCCATCTTGGAAAATCTGCCATCTTCTAAGGGAAAAAAGTAACAAAACACAAAAACGCCTGCCTCCTTCATTTTTTCAAAATGCTCAAAAGAGAAAGTACTTTTTTTACTCGGCCCAAAACACATAAATGTAATCCATTGTGAGGAACTCTCAGACCACAATACTGTGACTAACAAAAGGGGTCAGACATGTCAGAGAGTGTCAATGTAAACCTTTCAATCCAATTACAATTCAACACTTAAAGGGGCACACGGTCGTGAAATTGCTGGAATTTGTATGTTTTGATAAAAAAAACACAGACATTTAGTGGCAAATGAAAAAGTATTTCCATCTGTGACTATAGGCCTCTCCTTGGACATACATAATGACAACAGCACACAGCACCAATACACACACTGTTCCCTGCATGTCTACAACATGTGAAGGTACTGGTGGAACATGTGCGATAGGATTCACTACTAGCACCCAGCAGTTAGATTTTTGACAGTCAAAATTTTAACCCCCGAAATTTGTTCTCGCAAGAATAACACAAACACGGCCAATTGTCAAAAGATGGCTGTGTGGCTGTTCATTAATATTCTACCTTTATACAGGCGCGGATCGGGGGGGGGGGGGGGGGGTGGTCAAATCCCCCAGCTCTGTCCAAAAAAAATTATCATACAAATTCCTACCCCCCCCCCTCCCTGCTGTGATGTCCCCCAAAAAATTAGGCGATTTCAAGGACGTACATGTAGTTTACCTTTAAGCAATTCATCATAAATGCAACATTTGTGGGATCTGAAATAAACTGGAATGGGGTACCAATCTTATTTGGTTCCATTTAAATGCATTTTGGTTCCATTTTATTCGCTTCATTGCACGTGCGCCTCGACATCGATCATTTAAAATTGCGCTTGAACTTTGCTATTGCTATGAGATTGCAGCGTTACGCATTGACAGTACATGACCGACCGCAATGACACAGTTGACACTGTATCAATCACAACTTTTAATTTAAACAGTTTGGCCAGTTTAACCAGACAATTTTTGAACACTTTGAACTTGAACTTTGAACTTGTTGGGTTTACAACTGTTTGGATTGGAACTTTTACTACCTGTTCGGTTTATGTTGTCTGTTGTGGATGGCCATAGAAATGAAGTAAAATTGATGGCAAGCCTGAGTATTTTTTTCATAAAATATCAAATGACAAGGATCTATTTACTTCAGTGTTATATTTAACAAATAATCATGTTTTTTAATTTGTGCAATGGAAAGGAATATTTTCATTTGGTGAAAGATTGACTGTTCGATTCAACTGGGCTATGCCTCGTTGAATGGAACAGTCATGACTAGTAAATCGTTCACCTCATGAAAATATTCCTTCCATTGCACTCAAATAAACATTCATTAAAATTCCTGTAGTGTAAAAAACATTTAGTAAAAACATTTAGTTTCATTTTTCCCACCTACTCTTTTGTTTGTTCAAATTCACAGACTCAGACTCCATCACTGTGCATTAAGCTAATTAAGCTACGTGTACACTTTTGTACACGTGTGTTCCTATTTCACCTTCAATTTGGGTGTAACAATGCATGCACATTGCAAGTGTTACCTGCACCTAGATGGAGGGTCGAGGATACATGTCAACATATTGTCTTTGTATTCCTTTCTAACAAAATTGTAGGTAGGCTATACAAAGGTATGGCTCCTTTGTAAAGCAAGTTTGACACAATTATGTATCCACAATTGTCAGCAAATTATTGAAGGACAGTCACTTTGGACATGTTGGACACTAATGTATATGTCACGCCCCAACTATCGCATCGGTCCCAACTATAGTTGGGCCTGTCCCAACTATAGTTGGGCCTGTCCCAACTGTAGTTCCACAGTTGGGCTGGCCCAACTATAGTTGGGCCTGTCCCAACTATAGTTGGGACGGTCCCAACTGTAAGTTCCACTGTTGGGCTGGCCCATCTATAGTTGGGCCACTCCGATCTTTTTATTTTGCGGTGTCCCAACTATAGTTTACATTGATGTACAACTGTAAAACGTTCCCTACAGCTCTGATACACGTCTGACTTTACTGGGGACCACTGAAATTAGTTATTGATGGGGCGAATCTATAGTTGGGCCACTCCAATCTTTTTATTTTGCGGTCCCAACTATAGTGTACATTGTTGTACGATTATAAAACATTCCCTACAACTCTAATACACATCTGACTTTACTTGGGACCAATGAAATTATCTATGGGTGGGGACCATCTGTAGTTGGGCCACCGCAATATTTTTATTTGGCGGTCCCAACTATATAGTTTACATTGATGTACGACTATAAAACATTCCCTACAGCTCTGTTACATACTGTCCGACTTTACTTGGGACCTTTGACATTAGCTATGGGTGGGGCCCATCTATAGTTGGCCGGCCATGGCAATCTTTGAATTTTGCAAAATGTTGCTGGACAATAAAACCCAGCAGCTGGACAACTCATCCAACTAGGCAGTACCACGTGACCGGCCAGCCTTGCGGCATGCATGCACGACGAATACACGGTGCCAGCGCCGCGGAACATTTAATCCAACAAGATCTATCAAGCATCCGGCGCAACTCCAGTCCTAACTATAGTTGGGCCGACCCAACTGCCGCACTATAGTTGGGACAGTCCCAACTATAGTTGGGACCGATGCGATAGTTGGGGCGTGACATATATAATCATATACCCAGGACGATACTTGATAGACCTAAAAAAGCGTCTTCAATCATGCGCATGGTCAGTCATATGCTCATAATCGTCATGATCATGAATTTTTCAACAACAAACAACATTCAACAAGTTAACAACGCAACGGTGATCGAATAGGAATCAAAATATGAAAATTATATTAGAAAAAAATCAAAAACCATACCAATTCCACACTGTCAAGAACACATCATGCATAACATGACTCATGTTGTACATGTGAACGACATGTAATTTAATGTGCATAATCATGAAAGATCACTCAGTAAATGGTCAACTTTGGGGCGAGTTGGTTCGTGGGCAATTTGACCGCTTACCTCGGCCATGTCGGCCGTCACGTCTGCTTGTGTCTGTTCATGTTCGGTCTTCGACTGTTGTTCTGCACCACCGCTATTTGACTCCTTAGATGCTTGTCCTTCACGATGTCTTAACTCACTCATTGTACCTCAGTCTGCTCTAGTTCGTCCTCCCAAATCTACCTTGTATCAAACGAACACCAGCAGGTGACGAAAACAGCTATTTAAACCGGTGTTTTGGGGATGAAATTGTCCATGGAACGACGACAATTATGGCTGCCACACAAATTTATGTGGCGATGGTCTTGTGCTAGACGTCGATAAATGCACAACAACGCAACGTCAATGGCATTTGCTATGTAACCAGACTACAGAATCTGTGACCTATTTTAATTCGCGCCAGCTCGAACAACGTAATTTTCGATAAATGCTGCATAAATGCAGATGTATTTATGGGCACATGTGGCGACGGAACTGACCCATTTTCTCATTTGAAAAAACTGCGTGAGTTTTGAATTTAATCTGATAGTCCCCTAGTGCTTTAATTTTAGTTTTTTTACTACGTTTTTCCCCTGAAAATTGATGGGGGGGGGGGGGGGGGGGGGGCTATTCATGTTCGAGTGCTGTGGTGGGGTAGGGTGGGGGTGGGTCTTGTGATCAGGAGCAGATTCAGGGGGTGGCGACGGAATGACCTATTCTTATACTAAAGTTGAAGTCACCGTGTCAGTTTTTTAAATTCAATCGTGCTTTAATTTGACTAAAGTCTAACATGTCTACTAAGTTGTTCTGAAACTGAAGTATTCATGTTAAAGTGCAGTGGTGTGGGGGGGGGGGGCTGGTGATGGGATCGGTCATGTCGGTGCGGATACCGGCAGTGATCAGGGGCGGGTGCAGGGGTCCCCCCCCCCCCCCCCCCCCCCCCCCCCCCCCCCCCCCCCGGAACCTCTCTGGATTCGCCCTTGCCGGGCCCTTGTCGATGGTTGGTTGGGGCGGCGGGGGAATCTTTGATTATCATAGTTTTTATTTTTAATTTATCTCCTACATGAAATAACGACAACTTTATCCCAATTTCAGGTTGCTTCTGACTGGCGGGTGGACTTACTCTGTAGGCTCAATGTTGTTGGTGTCAGTGTCATAGTTTGGATTTGAATGTTCTTCATTATCGCCAATCATCTCAAACAGAAGCAGGACTTTCATCGAGTCAACTGTTTTACTTCTAAAAAGATGAAGTTCCTTGTGTCTAGGATTACTCATGCATGGAGGAGTCAAAGACTGTCAGATTATGTGAAATCTAATGTTCCTCCACTGCATGTTCTTACGTCTGCTAACAAAACTGCAAGAAACATTTGTTCTACATGTAGAAAGGTACAGAGTTGTCCTCCGACAGTTAAACAGCAACTTCATCTATCATCAAGTGTAGTACAGCCAGCACCTGTTGACACAACATCTCCAGAACTAGACCATCAACCAAGCACAGCATGGATGGACGAAGCAACATTGTATGTTCATTGGCCTTACTGTCAGCGTCGTTGCACCTATTGTAACTTTAACAAGTACATTGATAGCAATGTGGATCATACCAAGATGCAACAGTGTCTTGTACGGGAGGTACAGACGTTAATTGATATGAGTGGCATCAAACGCATCAAGTCAGTCTTCTTTGGAGGTGGAACGCCAAGTTTAGCCAAGCCACAAACCCTACAGGCTGTCCTAGATACTGTAGCTGGTGTGGTTGACTTGCCATCAAATGCTGAAGTCACCATGGAAGGAAACCCAACATCTGTGGGTCGTTATAAACTCAGAGATTTCAAACATGCAGGTTATGCCAATACATGTATTTAAATTGATGCTACTTTAAATATATGGGTAACCATATTACTTTTGGATCAAATGAAGTGATGAAAAGCTATCACTCTTGTGTTGCCATCATACGCTTACCCCTCAACGCCTTCCCAGCATCCTGATCCCACTGTATACAAATTTTCTTTGTAGGAATAGGCAAAATGTTTTTGTTTTTTAACTCACTCTTGGTATCTACTGAACCTAGCCAAATTTTCATAATTCCTTTGGACTGACACGATTAACGTGTAATAAGTGTTTCTGTCCTTTTCTTTTGCAGGCATCAACCGTGTTTCACTTGGCATACAGGCTTTGAATGACGATGATCTTAATGTTCTTGGTAGAGATCACTCTACGACCGAGTCCATGCACAGCATCAAAGAAGCACAGAAACTCTTCCCTGGACGTGTGTCCTTAGACCTTATCTTTGGCCGACCAGGACAGACTTTGCCCTCTTGGGAACAAGAACTGCAACAGGTCTTGACACTCTGTGACAATCATGTATCCCTGTATCAGCTAACACTTGAAAGAGGAACAGAATTGTTTAAGATGCATGCAAAGGGTGAAGTGGCTTTACCTGCTGACGACGATGTTGCTGATATGTACATCATGGCAGTTGATATGATGGAGGAGCAAGGACTAAGGAGATATGAGGTTTCCAACTTTGCCAGGGAAGGATCTGAGTGCCTTCATAACCAGGCCTATTGGGAGGGTGGACAGTATATTGGTATAGGTCCTGGAGCTCATGGGCGATTCATGCTACAAAAGGCTACAAGCAGAAGTGGAAAATCCGAAGTCAAACAAGGCAATTTCGAGACACTCCGTGAGGCTAGGATTCAAACGCTAGAGCCAGGACCTTGGATGTTTGAGGTTCTCAAGTATGGGCATGGCACAAGGAAGCGTGTCTGTCAAACACAACTTGATGTCTTACAAGAGTTACTCCTGGTAGGTATGCGAACTAGTCGAGGTGTGACCAGCAAACGATGGGCGGAGTTATCAGGAGGGTGTCTGAGTGAAGTATTCTGTGATGATAACGTACAGAGACTTGTCCAAGATGGGCTTATTGTGAAGGATAGGACAGGGTTACGAGCCACACCCCATGGCATGGTATTGCTTGATTCTATAATTCCACATCTGATTCTTACACTACAAGAGTGGTATACAGGCTTCTTAAATTTGGATTAGTTATTCTTTGGAATGGTAACAACTACCAAATGTCATCCATGTTTTGACATCACTTCAAATAATTTTAAGTTGCTTGGATAATTGGGACCTTTTATTCTAAAACCAGGCTGACAATTGTCATCAATTTTCTTAAACTTCTGGAACACTTTGTCTTGTTTTAGATTAAATACTTTTGTCGCAAGCGTCAATATTAATACAAAAACCTGAATACTCTTGAATGTTAAAACTTTATATAAACATGTACATGCATCAAATGGCCAATCAAAAAAATAAAAATTTTCAGTTTTATTAAAATTGTTTATCCAATTAAAAACCCAATAATTAAAGTATAAATCATGTGATCATGCAGTTCATTACTTCAGTTGTTTTGAGGAATAACTTACAAGGTTTACTATGGGCTCTGTGCACAAGTACCCCTTCAACAGCCAGAAAAGGAGAGTTGGGGAGACCTAGACTGGTTCTCAGTCCATCCACTGCATATTTTGAATGATCCAAAGTTATTGGGGGGCAGGGATTAGTCTGGGAGACCATCGCAGGTTAAATTCGAACATGTTCACACACCGATGACGCCCACACCCGAGGACGCCATGGCCTAGCTTTGTGCACATTCAGGATAAATAAGTCGTGCGTATTCGCCCACGAACCAGTACAGTACACACGCGTGTAAAAACGCGCCCTCTTTTGTTGGCGCACGGAGCCCATAAGGTGAAAAAGGATGACACTGAAAGTTCTGATTCCTTTTTCGGTGTGAGCTGAATGCCATAACATCTTCCATCCCCCATTTGTCGCTCTGGCCTATCACCTTAAAAATATGCACGCATCCTTGCATTAGTGGTGTCAGGGGTGGGATTACATGTCCGAGTGTTCTGCATCAGCCATAGCTGCCAGCAGTTCCTCATCGCTCTCTGTAACATCGCCACAGTTACCCCTATCGTTGCCAATACCATCTGATGATGTAACCACTCTCTCATTATTATCGTCACATTGGTCAGTCCTAGAGCTCATGTTGCCTTCAACTTGGAGTGTTGCTGCAAGCAACTCCTCATCACTAAGCTCAGTCACAGTATTGTCCAAGCCTGTCATGTCATGTGGAGCAGATTCCCTGCCTTCCACAGCGGTGACAGCTGCTAGAAGCTCATCATCATCTAGATCATCACCCAGGGTTGGCAAGAGCTCTGTAGGGAGAGGTGTGTCTGGTGACTTGTAGCCAGCTGATTTGCAGTCCTGGTCGTGACATTTCTGGTAGTAAACACCACGACGAAGATCAACAAGTATCCTGCACAGAAAGAAAATTGCATTCCATTAGTCCTTTAATTCATTTTCAAAATGTGCACATCCCTCCTCCAAAAGAACTCCAACTTCTTTCTGTTTCCCTAAGTTACTTTTATATTCAAAGAACAATATGTCCAGTCACACATTCCTACAGATTGAAAATGGCACAACTCAATCCTGCATTTTAAAATTCAGTTTAAAGTTGAACTCCATGCCTCGGAGCACAAATTCAACATTACACAATCGGTAAAGCTTCTTCGGTCACATACAATGCTTACTTGCCAGGCGTTTTGGCAAAATGAGACGGAACTGGGTACAGGCCCCAATGGAGAAAAAACAAAACAAAACGAATGTGAGTGATTTTTTTTTTATCAACTTTCAGATATATTGATATCTGTAATATTTGATCTATGTCTACTACACATGTTTTAAAGAAATGGTCTCAAACTCGTGGGAAAAAGTGTTTCAAGGAAAAACAATAGGCATCTTTCATTTTTACAACTAAAACACTCGAAACTTGTGAGGCCTTTTTCTCAGTATTTTACTTTTTGGACATGTTGATCGACCTCTACCCAGTTCTGTCTCATTTTGCCAGAATGCATCACATTTATCTCTCCTTGCTCCCTATCCAGGGAAGGATACCAGACTTTACAGGACCAAGAACACTTATCAGCCTTACATAATGTTGTTGCTCTTATGCTGACGTTGGATGTTGCCACACCATCGATTCTTGATGATATCATAGACAAGTAGTTGTCCTTGAGTGAAGTAGACCCAGCGTCGAATCTCTCCTTGGATACCTCCGTTAGTGATCACTGTGTAGATGAAGGCATCTAGGTCTGGGTATGGAGAGTGGTTGAATCCCTCCAACAAATCACTAGGATCTTCTGAAACAAAGAAAAATCCATGAAACTCAAAACTAAAATCAGCTGTTGTTGAATTAGGGAGTCAGGTTGGTGGAGCAGTACTTTCCTCGCCTTCCACCACTGTGACCCAGGTTCGAATCCCACCTGGGCCAACATGTGGATTGGGTTTTCAGTCCCTGCCTGATTCCGTGGGTTCCCCCTAGAAAATTCTTCTGGGGTTTTCCTCCCACCTATAATTAAACTGTAATTTCCGCTCACTGTCTTCTCTCTACACTAAAGGTTTCTTCAGGTTGCGGGCTACAGTGCCTAGGTCACTTTTGAGGAATCCTTGGTTTCATTACCAGAAATAAACAAATAAATGATAGAATCTTTGTCTTGCTGCAAGTGCACTTTTTGAAATGGAAACTATTGTAGCTATACTACCAGGCTCAAAAACATTAGGAGTTTACCTTGAGCTAGAGTGGTTTTATTATTACTTGGACGGCTGCCCTTCGGAGTGCTTCCCTCATTACGTTCCATTGTCAAGACATGTGTACCTGGGCAATAACTGGCGCATAATGAAACAAACAATAATTTATCTTAAGCCAGGAAAAAATGCATAACTGGAGAATTTGATATGAAAAACTCCCAAGTTGATATAACTGATACTAAATGTGTTTGTTTGACAAGGACATTCACAATCAGGAATTTGGAAAGGAACCTTTCAAAGGGAACAGGAATGTTATGAGTTTTGAGACACTCGCCATGACCTACTGAACATTATCTCACCTGACATTAGTTATAAGTGAATCCAGGAAGAAGTGTCGTTCCATGGCTGAATCTCTAGCTGCCTGACTGGTACCCGACTTGCTGGTGATCCGAGGCTTGTACTTATTATCCTCAGCTATCAGCAAGGGGTTAGCCTTCCCAAACTTGATGCACTTGTAGAGACGGAAATTCCTGTTTCGGGTGTACACTCCTAAATGAGATTTGAAACTTTGCATGGCGGTAGTGTAAAGTAGCAAGTGTTTGCGGTAACACCATGTGGACAATTTTGTTTCCCCTTGAAGACGCCCAGAGTAACTGATCGGAACATCAAGTTTTACAATCAACCGGTTCTATTCAGAACCACACATCAAAAAGAGATTCTTCCACATGGTGTTACTGCAAACTCTCACTAGTGTACACTTCAGTTAGATGCAACACAGGGCTGAGCAGTTGTCTTGTCTCAATTGTATGTTTACCCAGAGACAGGAATATGATATGTCCTTAAGCAGGAAACTTTACTGCAATCGCTTCTCTGTGAACACCAGTTTGGAATGTTTGTTTAATGTATCAGGCATTAAAGTCACAATTGTTTGGATGGGAGGCATGTGACAATTTTTTTTTATCTCGACGGGTCTTAGGAATTATGTGTTGTTTTCTTTCCATCTGTCAAGTCAGGAGTAAGCACAGAGGTTTAATAGGGACCTCTATTAATTGACCATGAATATGATGACCTGAAGGGTAACCTGCTCCATTTGAAATGTGACAGAAATAAAGCTTTTACAAGCCGACCTGTAGATTATTGTTGAATTAACCCCATTTAAACTGGTGCACCTATGCACTTGTTAACTGTGATTGACCATGCTTCATTTAACCCCAGAGTGATGCTATAAAGAGACATTAGTAATGCATGAATGGGCACTGTACACATACCTTGATCAACAAACAAACTAGACTGGCCATCTTTATTCTGAACAAAGAGGTTTTGGTAGAGTGAGACTTCATGCTGCCTTTGTGAGTCTGGTACCCTGTTGCCCTCAGTCTTGTCTTCATGCTTTTGTCTCTTTGCCTCAGGCTCTCCATCACTCTCTGTAGTTTGGGAAATCCTTGTGATCTTCTGACAAACATGCTGTACAAAATTACCTGGAACATAGTTAACCAAAAGAAAACCAATATTCTATAGGAAGAACTTGTGATGAACCGATCTCTACCGTTAAATAACTGCTGTTTGCTATGATATGGTTATCAAAATTTCATTTTCATTCCTAAATATCTTCATCAAGAACTGAGTAATAAAATGTGGCCAAAAATAAGGATGTCCCATTAATAATAATAGTGGCATCTTATTAAGCGCAAACAGGTCCATCACTCGGTGACGCTCATGGCGCTATATTTGACTTTTTTTCTCAATGTGGTGGGAAGTGGGAGGTGTGGTGAGATAGATCCAGGAATACACCTGTTTATCAGGCATTGCTTTTATTTTGTGATCAAAATAATAAAGTATGAACTTCATTTTACCAGCTTGAACATTGTCTTTGAAAACCGTCTGTGGTAAGTTGAAGATAAGATGTCTACTGAACTTGTTGTCTGTTGTAGCATCCAGATTGATCACGTGGTGAACACCACACTGCTTCTGATATACATCCATCAGCTCAGCACACACAAACTATACAAAAGAAACACACAAAAGAAAACACATTCAAATCTACAGTTGAGAAATATTTTTAGGTCGACAGTCAGCTAGTATTCCAAACTATGCAGTGATGTTGAATTATAGATGGATACTTTGGTCTAACTTTGAAATCTTACTCACTACTGTATACATAACTTTGCATCCACTTGTGCTCACCTTGATCAATGTCTGCACCATTGCTGCCCCATTGCATTCTGGGTTCAGGGATCGACTGAATTCTAGATCAAAGTAGAGTTTGCATGCCGAGCCCTCAGGGATCACTTCATAAAACGTAGGATATTTTCCATGGGCTGCCAGGTGGTATATAGTGTGCCACAGCTGCAAGTAAGTTGTGATGACATACTTGCGTTGTCCCTTAGACGCAGTATCAGGTTTGATATTGTCAGCTTCGAAGGCAAAGACATGGACATCCTTAAAACAATGAAATAAATATGCAAATCGACTTAAAACAATTTTGATAAAGCTCTCAGCACTTGGCTGCCCTTTGCAGCAAGATGGAGACTAGCAAAACGTCCAAATAATTGCTCTCAACATTTTACATTTTTCAATGTTACTCCAGACTTTGTAGTTTCATCAATAATTCCAATTATTAGCAATTTGCAGATGAATGTGATTCTCAGCATTGTCTGCAACACGGGCAGGAAACTTGAAACTATACTCTATTACCGAAGATGTAACTGAAGATGAAATTGTAATGAAATGAATTTATGACCAAATAATGACTACCAGACCACTTTACCTCTGGGTGTGCAGCTGCAACATCAAATGCATGTTTCTGTCGATACACTGTGTGCCAGAACGGTGATGGATCTATCAGACTAAAACAATAACATACTTTTTAAAAACATATCAGATACTGATAGATAATCTAAGACAACAGTATCTGAACAAAATCACAAGTCAAAACAATTTACGTAAGAAGCCAAGAAGGACTAGTTACCAGTTTTGTGCCATGTAATTTACATGTACTGTTAATTCCAAAATATTTCCTCATCTCTTATCACAATTTGGGTTTTTAGGCAAAATAATTACAGTTCAAGAAAACATCAATACTAGCTGAAGCAAACTAGATGCAGTTTTAAGTATGCAAATTCTGGTTGATGCTGTATAACTAAGAAGACGATTTTTTTTTCAAATTGTTTACTGCAACATGTACATTTAGATTCTGCAAATATTTTAGTGTTGTATGCTGATGTTGCTGAAAATATTGGTTCAAGCATATACATGTAGGTTTGTGCGAGTATCCTATCTTACCATGGTCTGTATGCAGGTATGATGGGATAGGTCTGGTACCACGCCTCTACAGCTTGTAATTTCTTCAGTCTTTCCTCCCACTGTTTCTCCTTGCTATCCCCCCCCCCCAAAAAAAATTAAAAATATAAAAACATTAAAAGCATTGTGACGTTTGAATTCTCATGTAGGCCTTTTCATTTGGTTATCTTCATGAAGCGTGAGGGCAGAAAAGTTGGCGATCATGTATCTAAGATTCCCATATCTGGCCATCACTTTTCACCCTGTGCACAAACCCTATGGGACTGGTCTGAAAATTTGTAAGTGTTTTCTCAGTAAAAATTCAAAATTTGTCACTGCTTATTTTGACTTTTAGGGAATATTATCACTATCTGAAGGCTGATAAGCCATTTAAAGGAAAAATAAGTGATGGCCAGATATGGGAATCTTTCCCATGCAGGCATGTCATAGATAAAGGGCAGGGTTTTGAATTTTTGAGGGAAATTTGGGGGTAAAATGGCGATGACAATGACAAAACGGAACATGAAAATAAAGATGGCGATCACTATGCAATGAACATACCGTGATTGTGTAAGGCGGGCTGAATCGCACAGCACTAACCATAACATAAGCCACGTAGGACAATCGTGTGTTGCCTCCCGAGTGGAAGTTGGACAAAAAGTCTACTTGAAGTTTAGGTTGAAACTTAGGTCATTTTGAAGTAAAATAAAAAACACCCTTAACTCTAATTTGATCGAAACTAAATACACTACACGATCGCCAAAAAGTCCAAAATGCATACTTTGCAGAGTGAATTCATGAAAACAATACACTTACAGGGAACTGCCCGTCTGCGTGGCAAAACTAACGTTAGGGGTACAACTACAAACAAAACCTGGAGGGGACAAACAGGGCAGAATTAACGGGCCAGGGAGGATAGTTATACCTAGGTAATTCTGTCTTCCCGGACAGTTTTACCGGGGCACAGACTTACAGTTCATCATGTTCATGACACGTACACCTACAGGCTGCACCGGCATCGGCCGGCTTGCCGCCACTTAAATTCGGGGTAATCAGTATATACTCCCAGTCCCACTAACCATGCTAACTGGGGTGCTAGAAGTTAGAACCCTTTTTTCAGTAATCCTTACTTTTAGGACACCTCTATTTTGTACGAGTTCTGTTCAAAACTGACTTTTGCAGATGACTGTCCAGTACCAAAGTGACTTTTGCAGGCTAAAGAAGTCTTTTTTCTTCAGACAAACTCATGTTACTTTGTTAGTTATAATTTTGAAAGCACTTTCAAAGAAAATGTGACTTTCCTACCTTTTTTTGCAGTTCGCCATCTTGCTTTTTAAATTTATTTTCTGTTTGTCATCGTCGTCTTTAACCCCTCATAAATCAAAACCCTGCCCTCTTTCTACAAAATTAAACCTGCTGATATTCAAGAGGTGTCATTGCCAAATGTTCAAATGTGTCAATAAATATCAGAATGTCACTGTTGCGTGTCATAGTCAGCTGTTTTGGTGAGTCTTTTAACCTTAAATAGGAAAGGGGTCCTAAAAGTAAGGATTACCCCTAGTTAAGTTCGTGTACGAGTACGATTACGAATAAAAAAAAAAAACACATGAAAAATGATTTACCGTTTTTTCTGATCTATTAAAGCCATTTCTTCTTGTCAAGAAGTGTTCAAATATTCGGATACAACAGCAAACAGTGAGAGGAGGAGGATGAATGCCCAAACTCAAGATAGGGGGCCTAGTTCATCTTGTCGTTTTGCAAACTTGAAGTTTCCGCGGCGCGCATGTTATGCAGCAAAGATAGAGGGCGCTAAACTTACAAATTTGAGGAAAACTGTTCTTATTGTACCACAAGAGGGCGACAAACATTTAGACTTCAAAACTATTTGTCGACTATAGAGTGCAGTGGGCGACAAACATTTTTAAATACACAAACCTAGACTACCAGAGAAGCATTTATATCACAGAAAAAGAACGATTGTAAATTCCGTCAAAAAAGGCGACATACAGTTTTCACGACAACGAGCAAGCTCTGGTGCAAACATATACTAAACCAATATTTCAAACCGGACCATTCCGGCTCATTTTAGTGTCTGGTCCTCTGTGGCTGCTGGTCCTCTCATCGGTTCAAATTTTTTTTAAGCGATGTTTGTTTTTCCACAGACATTTCCCCCGGATGTTTGTCGCCCTCTATTGCCATAATTATACCAGGTTTCTCTTTAAAATGTGTTGGTCAAAACTGGCGGATTGTGACTGTTGTATCAATTATAATCACTTTCAAAATCGTTTTAATTAAAATGGTCCAGTGTTTGCGTGAATTTATTTCTTAATTTTTTGCAAGCCATTTACCACAGAATCTGAAGATGAGTTAAAAATCTCCCACATTAGGCACATGTCTGAAAAAAACCTACAGAACAAAAAGTAAGACGGGTATCTACTGCGCATGTGCAAATATTTGACAACTTGAACTCAAACAGAAGATTCACATCTACGAGGGACTTTAGTTACAACGAATCCACACTGTCTGTGAACTTTTCTAAGAAACCACCAAAGCAAAAAGAGATGGAAACTTTCGGTATTACCGTCTACGCTTTCTTGGAATATTAATATACTTACTTTTAGCGCTTTAAGTTTAAGGTAACAAAATATTTGTTTCTTGGGTAAAGCCATTAATCTATAACCTGAAAAACACCTGGAAAAACCTAGTTAGAGGCGAAAATAATCAATCAACATCGTTTATTCCATTTTAAATGTTTATTTTAAGTGTTTAGTTTTCTCTACTATTTTTTATGGACGTTTTTATTATCACACCAGTAACTGTCATAAAAGGGGGAAATCAAACGTAAGAATTATTATGTTTCAAACCCCTAGCGGGATTCGTTCTCGGGCCTGAGCGCTCCACCAAAGTAGCCGATGGATGAAGCGAGTGGCCCGTGATCGAATCCCGCGTCATCCGACACATAGGACCACCAATTATCATATCCCAATGTTTTTTAGAGTTATGGGATATTGACAATAGGCCTATAGGTGTGGGGAATTGAATCGCATGTCTCCGTTTTTTCCATGACATTCATTTCATTGATATTTTTTACGAAAATAAATTAATTTCATTTTGTATTAAAAAGAGAATTATGTACTCGTTTTCAGCGACAAAGGAACAAAGAAGCATAACATTATTATAGGAAGAAATTAATTAATAAAGAAGGGAAAAAACTGACACAAACACAGGAAATCTAAAGAGACGCAGTCATGAATACATAAACTTGCCAATGGAAAATGGTTTGATGCATGATGCCTGATCACATTAACAGATCACGAATTTTCAAACACTTTTTGCAGAAACAACTTCTTAAATTACTTCTGGCGTGACGCATAATTCAAATGATTTGCCTCAAAGATGAACTGATTGTATTTCAATGTTCAAGCACATTGACAAATCTGAGACCAAAACTGTACATTGACGACTTGGAGCTAAATTTTCTCACAGGTTCTACTTTGTTTTGCGACTTTTTTCCATGAAATGTACCCGGATACAGTATGTTACAGGAACGTGCTTGTCGACCCCCATGACCCTTATCTTCACGGTATGCGCATGTTCGCGGCTGCATGCGGGACAAGTTGAAGCATAATCCAGGGGGTAAAACATGCAAGCTCACGGCAAGTCACAAAGGCCTCAATGGAAATTTCTCTTATTGTTGATCGGAATTCGTTACGTCCTGCAGGCCCTTTCCTATGAGAACAGACCAATGTTTCTGGACCGATGTTTCTGAAGAATTAACCATGAACAGGAGACTACTCTGAGTAAGTCTTCTTTAAACTAATTAAGTTTGGCACATAGTATGGCTCACGACAAATTCGTCACTCAGGATTAAGTCTTAGGCTAAATCCCATATAATAACTCGTAATGCTGATCGGCTTATCTTGGTACAACCACATGTATATATTTTTAGTCTTTGACTTGTGGGACGTTGTTCACATCAAGAGCCATCATTCTCCAAATCAATGATCTTCTAATCCGATGCGATCCCTGTGTCTAATTGGTGCAATCATTGTCTCTGCCTATGGTCAGCCACATGTCGCTCCACTGTCATTATGAAGATGAAGCCATATTTTTGGGGAGTAAGATTTCACGCAGGAATAAAGCTTATAGCTATCCAGGTCTCTCGTCCAAGGCGCTGTTCATCTGCAGTCAATATACACCAAGCTGTAGAACAAAGGAAAAAACGGACATACAAGAGAGTGAATGTAAAGAAATATACCGAAAATAATTGCCCTGTGCGCCGTTTGGTTCAAACTTTAAAGCGAGGCAGAAGACGGTAAGCCTTGGTCATCATGGATTCCATAATTTTTTTTATTGGTTTATTTATTTGTATTTGTACATCTGTGTAGTCATTTGTAGCGTATACAGGGCCCAAATGGAGACAATGAAAGTTTTATACTGTTTGGGAATACCCTGGGAAAAGAAATGTAATAAATAGGCCTAAATAAATAAATTTAAAGACGCGCTAATTACGTGTATTATAGTAACGACACGAAAGACTGTTCTGCAAATATTATAATACAGTCGCACTTTATTGTGTTCCAATATGGCGGTTCAGAGATTGAGTGAAAGTAGAATGCTGCACAATAACTTTTATTTGAATCAATGTCACTTTCAACCTTAGACAGCTGAAACTATTATCATGGTGTTTGAGTGTTTAATGTTTAGTAACTTTAAGTTTCATGTGAAATGAAACGATGGTTATATAGCGCCAGTCTAAATGCTTACTGTTGTGAAATAAAAGTGGAGTTGTCTGCGCTTTCGGGCATTACAACGATTTATATTAATTGCCAATACTGCCATTTACTAGCAGTGGAGTACTGCCCGCCACATAAAGTCAAGCGATATACTAATATACATGCACGTGCCAGTGGGAATGCAATTTTCATTCTAAAATTAGCAACAAGGAAAGAAACCCATCCCTAGACAATTATAACAGACGACCAGGCGCAATTTTCTCATCAAATTGAGACACAGAAAGAAAAGGGAATAGTTAAAGCATGACTGAAGTTAACCACAAACAAAACCTGTCTGTTGGCTTTTAACTTCGATAGCTGTCTCCAGATCAAAACTACAAACTGACCGATTTACTTGTAGAAAAAAAGTCCCACATGGATTGCAAACAGTAACAGCATGCGACACCGTAAAATATTCATTATTAGGACACTTCCGTCTCCGAGTATAAAGAATTAATCAAATGGGATCTTAAAACACAATTTATTGCACGCTGGCTTTAACTCAACATGAAGCTGGTTCTAAAACTTAAAATGTTTACAGGCTTTGAATAACGAGTTTTCCACTCGACGAATTCGTCCTTGACCCAGATCTGTCGTGTTGTAGCACGACGAAAGTTCATGACTCCAGCACTTTAGAGACTAAAAATACGCGCCCTTAAAGTTGCATTAAGTATAAAACGAGGACCCAGGTACAAACAGCCTATTGGACAATTTGCTAATAGAATATGGTTATGAGCAAACTTTCTACCAACAGATGCTCGCGATGCAGGTCAGACGCTAAGGTGCATAGCGTTTATACTCAAATTGCTTTAGACACGTAGTTATATTCATTTCTTTTATCATTTTCTATAATTGACGTAAGTGTACTTTTATCATAACAGAAAGAAATATTAATTCCTAGAGTCCACGAACATTGTTGTCTGTTTTTGGTTTGAGTTTTTGTAAATTATTAAGATCTTACCATATTAAAGTGACTTTCTTGCTTTATTCTGAAGAATCAGATGTACATGCTGGAGAGATATCGTTGGTGATACAAGTAGTTTCACTTGTCTCGTTATCATCAAGTATGTTCTGCAGTTCATTTATGTAATTAAGTGCCATAAGAAGAGTGTCATACTTTGAGAGTTTACGTCGACCAGAAGGCACCTTTTGACGGAGAAGATCGAATGCGTTGTTGATGCTATCCATTCGGCGTCTCTCTCGTGCATTGGCGGCCAGACGACGCGCTGGACGGTACTTGTTGGTCCAGAGTTGACGGTGAGATGTCATTGGACCCCGTGATGCATTCCTCCATCGTGTGGTACTCTTACCCTCTTCACAATCTCTACCATTGATGCAGCAGACTGGAGAAATGTGCAGATCTTGTTGGGAAGCAGTGTCTTGTTTGCTGATGTCCTGACATTCGCTAGTGCTGTATATACGACTCGTTGTTAAAGGCAAGACAAAATAACTCAGCGTCGTTGCAGCATTGGCCGCCATTTTGAATTGGTAACCTCTCCGAAGCGCGCAACAGGTTGTTGGAGAGTTTGTCATTCTCTAGTCTCTGTTTCGCGCTTTTTATAAGGGTTTAGAATCACCGAAATGACACCGTGGACCAATCAGAATTGAGTATATCACAGCACGGACCATGGCGGAAGCTCATGCGACAAAAGTGGTGTTATAGGCCACAGATATGGTATGTGAGCGAACGGCATAGCATCTTAGCCGCTCACTAAGAGGTTTACAACTGATCTGTTATCAGGAGAATGTCAACCACTTTCATTTTCATCTGATCTATTAAATTATAGATGGAACGATCATAAACCTAACGTCGAATCAGTGATCAACATCGCTCAGTTTCTTCCAAACCACTGCATCGCTTTACTGGCCTGATATGCCAGCATTATCTGTGCTCACCCACCCATTCCAAGCACTTTCAATGTATTCACAGATTCATCTAATATTAATGGCAACGTCCTCGATTGCAATACGCGAGTAATTAGACTGTTTTCAAGGTGACTGGAGATGTTTCGTTTGGTTTTAATATTAATATGTAGTCTATTATGGGATGTCTGTCAGAGCTCATTCATGCATGTCCAATGGTTGGTCTCCATATAGCTTCTCGTACACCATTCTTTATTTTACAAAATGAGGAATTACTCACCGGCGAATCAGTTTTAAATACAACCAACTCCTCTTCTTTTCAATAATTGCTATATAGGCCAATAGTCTAACAACGTACGTGGTCATGTGTCAGTTATATATCTTTATTTAAATGATGCGTATTATACCCTGCTCAGTAGTCTATAACATTCTGAAAAATAAAATGCTCAATCCTCCGATTTCTCGCACATCATTGAGAGTTAAGATAGAATACTCTATTTTCAAATCAACCTATATATTTTGGGGTTCTTTGTTGCTAGAAACGCAAACAATCATCGGTGTAAATTGCTTTGAAAATCCATGATTATAGCTTTATTTGGAATACCGTCAGCAGCAAAAGTTAATCAAATGCATGATTTTAACGGAACGGAATTTATATATTTCTTTGCAGAAACTGATCAAAGCTGAGCTAAGATACATGACGGCAAACTTATCTTAGCTGGGAGGAATTTCGAGAGGTGCGCAAATCCTCGATATCGTGCAATATACTAACCCATCCACATACATGTATTTTTAAACTGCTTTATTTTTCATATTGTGTATTTTGCCAGCATTCCCGGCATTTTCAGTCACTTTCTCCCCCGCAGAGGCTGAATAGCGCAACAATTAACAGCGCGCACTCGAGCAACAATTTTTTTGACCACAAAAACATGGGCGTAATTCAGCCGAAAGACCCCTCACAGTCATGCGTTGTGCGGAGCTAGAATTAATATTGACCGGGCTAAATCACTTAAACTATCGTCACTTCACAAATTCAATGCGGTTTACTCTTTACAAATCATGTTTGCTTTATTGATCAGCCTTAATTTTAATTTACAATTTATTTTTTAACAGGATTGGTACACTGTAGCTGGCGGACCAAAAACATATGAATTTAGGGATGCTGCGGTCGTGCTTGTCAGCAATTTTAGCTGTAGGCCTAATTTCTTTTAAAATGTACATGACAAAGAAATGTAATATAAGCTACATTATATTCGTTGGCTTCATAAATTATGCTCTTTGAAAACCACACATGGAGTACATGTGTGGCACAATCGATTCGAGATCAAAACATTTCAGGAAATGAACTTTCCTACCGAAGGCCAAAGTTTACACGTGACACGTCGGTTTTGACTCCATTACCCCTGTGTTAAGTTCGTACTCTTTCTGTTTTCGGCGCCTTCGATTTTTGCGTTGCGAAGATTTGTTTGGCACGAATGCTAAGTTTGACGTCATAGTATTCAATTATACATCACTATTATATTAAGTTATCTGCATGGTGTTATAGTAATGCAGTCTTATAGTTTAACTATTGCACATAATATTGCCTTCGAAACCAAGCCATCACACGGATGTGCGCGTTGTCTGGTTCGGTTGTTAGGTATAGCGACCAATCAGCAGTTAAAAATATTGTAATTAGTACGTTCAAGCTATTATGAATATTCATATAAGATATGCTCACTGGATTGCGTTAATATTTCATCCCTCCATGTACCGTAATGTTTTAAAGCCGTTCCTGCCATTTCACAGTTGAAATGACCGCGCTCAACCCATTTGAATTCGCCCCAGTATTATGCTCGATACCCGGTCGAATCTATTTCACAAAATGCATGTTAATTAAGCAACAACAATAGAGTGGCTTCTTCAAATCAACGGAAAAGATCGTCAGCTGCATGCACCTAAAATATGAAGTAATTATCAGCCAATTAGAGTTATACCAAACTGGGTTAAAAGCCTTAGTAGCGAATTGCTATGGTCCATAGCGCACATCAGCACAATACCATGCTGAGCTTCAAACGTTTGCACGTGCACATTTACGGCTTATGACTCAGCAAGCGAAGCGGCCAAAAATGTTCTCCAATATATCAGCAAAGCTCAGAAGTGGATTCAGTCAAGCGTTTACCTGCCTACCTTGAGTCAGTGGTGCATCGGGGGGGGGGGGGGGGGGGGGCGCTGGGCGCTTGGCGCTGGTGGTCCCACCCAAACCCCCCTCCCCCAAAAAAAAGGAAAAGGGGAAATTATATAGCAAAAACTGCACAATAGAAAACGCCGGACATTGGGTATATATATGGGCTATATTATATAAAAAGTAAATATTATTACAGCGACTGCAAGCGTCCGTTCACGTCCAGCCCCCGGCTTTTCGAATTTGACGCGCCCCTCCCTCAAGATAATTCTTGGGTGCGCCACCATATTTTGGTTGCGGTGTACCCATCTGCTATCAGATTCGAACCAGCCAGCCGACCCCGACAAGCTCCGTGGTCGAGTGTAAGATGGTCCGAGTAGTTTTTGAATTTTGTCTCACACTCATATACAAACATGCAGTTTAATCAAATACATCAGTGAATAGCAAAATCCAATTGTGAATTTAAATAATTCATGTAAGTAAAACACAACACTAAAGTCCAAACCTCCTTTGCACGTGACCGAAATTACACGTATAGCACATTTTCTTAAAATTAACAGCAATTAAGGTGAATACTTTTGCATGATGTTTAAAAATGTTCTCTTAAAATTACTTTGCGTTCTTTTTGTAAGAAGTTACGCATTATACAGTTTATGTTGAATCTGGTTAAGAAAGTTAAATATTATTTTGAAGGTGTGTGTGACGTGTGTAACGTCGTCTGACGCTTGATTAATTACAATTTTTTATTCTGAAAATAGCTATGCAAAAACTTGATAAAGTCCATATATACACACGTGGGAATCCCGGAAACCGCTCTAACAGTCAACTTTATATAGGCGCTGTCAAAACTTGAGACAGCACTTTTTTCTCTCTCTCTTTTTTATGTCAAATAAGTGAAAGAGAAGCAACAATAGGGCAATGGGCGATCGACCACTAAACAAGTACACGAGACCTACAGTCAGTTGAGTACAGCGCGCTGAATTGTAGAAGAGGAACCCGTGCATAAAATGACTCGCGTGCTACACTATTGACTTATGCCTCCTTGAATGCGACAAACTGTCTGCTTCTATACACTCCAAAATACACAACAGCGGGCGCCTTTTATTTCATATCACCTCAAATAAACAAAACAACAGCCCGCACTCGATGACCGACTAGAAATAATTCCTTGCTGCTTTTTACCGCTTCCAATAAATTATAGAATCTGTCCGATTCTTGGCAATAACCGCGGATGACAATTGAACAGCAGGGTAATGCACCAATGGTTTTGCAATGGGGCGTTGGCGCACGTGCGTCATTTGGAAAGCAGTGTAGCGTGTGGAGGGGGAGCGGTGGACGGTCATTACGACGCGCAAGCCCCGTTGCTCAATACACACCTGCATCGCTCCAGTCGCCTCTCCGTAACATGTAACTCACAGCGTGTGACCAAGCCGGAAAAAGGGAGAGGAAAAAAACGAGAAAAAGTGGCATTGGTAGAAGTCTTAATACCATCATCATCATCACCATGATAATGAGCATTGTTGTAAACCTTCCGGTATTTTATTTCTCATTAATGCACGGCCTGCCGCACCGGGGCTTTAGTTGCTTCTGATTAACCGGCAGGGACAATTGCAAAATATTCACGTGCGAAACCATCAGTGTTCATCCGTGTAAATCGTTACTTTGGTAGGATTGTGCATTTATGGTTGGGTTTCATCTCGTGCTGTGAGTGTCTACGAGATGCCGACCATGTAGCAAATCATTCTATGACGTTAAGTTGTTTTACTTCACGGTTTGAAATCGAAATTTATTACTGAGAACACTGCGGGGGTAATCATATAAGGCGCAGTCAATCTAGGCTTTCAGTATGGCCAGTAAACCTAACAAAATTAATATGAAGGTTTATAATTATAACCGACTATCGAACTGAACTTCTCAAAAAAAACACAACAACAACAACACTATTTTCCCCCTGTCAAAGCCAAAAACAAATCAACACCATTGTACGAATATTTCTTCAACAGAAGAAATACAAATCAAATTAGGTTTTGCCCTTCACCGACGTTTAAACACTCATACTCAGTGTGTTACCTTACATCCCGAGTGAAAGTAACACACTGAGTATACAGTGTTTAAACGTCGGTGAGGGGCAAAACATAATTTGATTTATATCACCCCGACGAAAAATTCCATCTTATAAAAGAAATACATCCAAAAAAGTTAAAGGGTTCAAGAGGAAAAGTATACCTCTGCCCATGGGCGTCGCCAGGATTTTTTCTAGAGGGGGGCAAAAATTTTTTTGCCAAAAAATGCTTGTATTTCTCAACACATTCTCGATTTATCAGTTTTAGAGGGGGGCAGGGACATTTTGCCCCCCCCCCAACTCATTAAATTAACACCACTTTGTCTTCGCGCCTCTTTTTCTTTTTTTTTTCTTCTTTTTTTTTTCTTCCTTTTTTTTTTTTTTTTTTTT